ATCGCATGGCCGCGGTCCTGCAGCCCCAGTGTCCACCAGCCCCCCTACCGCGTGGGGTGCGCTGCGCCCCGTGGCCGCCGGCAGCCCTTGGTGATTCCGGGGCGCGAGTGGGCGCTGGACCGGGACCGGGACCGGGACCCTGGGCGGGCTCGGGGTCGCGGCCCTCTGCGCGGGGTGCCCAGCTCAGTCTCCAGGGCGAGGCTGCGGGAAGGGGGGGCGCTGTGAGCACCCCTGCTACGGCCACCCCGCTTCCACCCGCCATCGCCCCCGGGGTCCTCGCTCCTCGACCCCGCCGCCCCTGCCCCTCCCTCCGCAGGCCACATGGGCTCCGGGCCCCAGGAACCCTCCCTCCTGGGGACCCTGCCCCACCCGGCTCCCCCGCCGCCCTAGCTTCGCCCCTGGGCTGCCTCTCCGGTCCACGTGGCCACGCCCCCCGCGCTCCCCCTGCAGACAGCCTTTCCCGCTGAAGCACGCTCCAAGTCCTGATTGGCCTATAGAACCACACCTGCATAGCCATTGGCCATCCTCCCCGTCCGTCTGCCTCTCGGGCCCGCCCCTTACTCACACGCGCTCGCGCAGCGCCCCCTCGCGGGCAGCGCAGGCTTCACGCTCGGCTTCGGCTGCGCCCGCGCGGTGCTGAGCTTCGTCCCGCAGCCGCGCAGTCTCCGCGGCCGACGCCTCCCAGCGCGCCAGGGCTTCTGCGGGGCAGGGGCCGCGGTCAGGACGCGGACCCCGAGCCCCCGCGTCTGAGTTTAGGGTTCTCATGCTGCTTGCAGGCTTTGCTTTATTTGAATTAAGTGTGTGCGCCTTTTGCATGCCTTTTCCTAAGTTCTCACTCTTCTGTGAGTGTTTGCGTGTTTTCTTATATTTGCGGTGCTTTATTTTGCTTTGTTGAGACAGGTGCTCGCTGTGTAGCCCAGGCTGGCCTCGAACTCCCGACCCTCCTGCATCAGCTTCCACAGTGCTGGGGTGACAGGCGCTTGGTCACTGCGCCACGCCCTTGTGTTACTTCTGTGACTTTTTTTGGCCTCTGCAGGTTATTTGCTTTCTTTCACAGGTGTTCGCGGTTATTTGCATGCTATTTTCACATCTAGGACCTGTGTGTCCTCCCACCTCTAGCGAGGCCCACCCCCTTGCGCCCCACACACCTGTCAGCTCCCCGTTGGCGACTCCCATCTGGGTCCCCTGTGCTTTTGCCTCGTCCACCTCGACCTTCAGGGTCTTTACCTGCGTGTGAAGCAGGCTCTGCAGAGTGGAGAAAAGGCGATGGAAGGCGGGGACGGAATTGGGCTCGCCCTTTCTGCGGGACAGTGACAGGAGTGTCCACTGAAGCCTGGGCACTGAATGGTGGCAGCTGCCTGTCTGAGGGAGGTCCCCGCCCCGAGGCTCGGTGAGACAAACTCCAGCTCCAGTGTCAGATGGATGGGGACATCCCTGTCTGCGGTTTCAGCCAGCCTGGTGGGTGGCGATGCCTCTTCAAAAGGACCTGGCCTGAGAGCGTTTCCCGCCCCCAGACACTTCTCCTGAGCAACCAGAGGGGACACAGCTCACCCTCCTTTTTTCTTTTTTTAAATACTGGAAGATGAGCCCAGGACCACTGACCTACATCCCCAGGCCCTTTTTCTTTCATTTCATTTTGGGCCACATTATCCCTAAGTCTAGCAGGCTGGCCTCGAACTCGAGACCCTCCTGCCTCAACCTTCCAAGTGCTGGGATTACAGGGGAGCACCACCACATCCAGCTGTTTAGATTTTAAAATTTAGATGCTGTGCCCCTCAGCTGGGAGGGGTACACAGTAGTCACTCAAACCATGCACACGGTGGTTTTGAGGCTGGTTCTTCGGTGAGGCTCGGGCTGGGGAGAGTTAAGAGAGTCTGAGGGGGCAGGAAAAGGAAGGTCCTGGCGGGTACTGACCCCAAGAGGCCAACTTTAGCCTCGTAATTACAGGTGACTTAAGTGTCCCTGTCTCAAAATAGGACTGCTGGGCGGGGAGGAGCCGGCACATGGGGCCTCCCCAGGTGGACTCCAGAGCCTGGGGTTCCCCCAGTCACCGTTTACCGGGGGGACAGCAGAGGAAAGGTGGCCTTTCGAAGCGAACTGGCGTCGTAGGAGCGGGACGCAACTCCAGCGCTGTTCTCACTGCTGCGCATCCGCTGGAGACTGGGGGAAACTGAGGCCCGGTGCTCGCCTCCACCTGCCCTCCTACCTGGCGGCCCTCGCAGGCCCTCAGCGCCTCCTCCAGCTCCCGCCGGCCGCGCTCGGCCCGGTGCAGCTGCCCGGCCACGTCCTCCAGCCGCCGCCGCAGCTCCTCCAGCTCGGGCGCGGGGTCCGCGGGCCGCACCGTGGCGTTGAGCCCCGGCTCGGGGCAGCGCGGACCCCGGGAGGAGGAGGCGGCGGCCAGGTTCCAGGCCACCAGGGCCCCGCCGGCCGCCGCCGCCGCCAGGAACACGGCGGCCCCGCACAGCGCCAGCGCCCGCCACGCGCGCCCAGGCTCCGGCCCCGCCATGCCGCCCCGCAGCTCTGCCAGCGCCCGGCCGGCCGAGTGGCACCGTGGGCGCCGGGGACAGCAGGCCCCGCCCCGCCACCCGGAGGGTGGACGCTGCGGCGCCACCCCAGGCTGCGCAGCCCGCGAGGGACGGACGGACGGACAGACAGGGGTCCTGGGCTCTCTCTGGTCCTGCCCGCGCTGCCTCAGTTTCCCCAACGGTGAAACGCAGTTGGTCCTGGCTCTGTGGGGATCAGAAACCGCACCTGCAAAGAAGGCGATGGGCCAGGCTCTGGGGTGAGGTCTCCACCCTGTGGATGGGGACACCGAGGGTGGAAGACGAGGGGACACGCAACAGACACTGGAGGGCAGCAGGATGGACACCAGGGCGAGGCTCCAGCTCCCAGCTCCTTTCCTTTCTTCTCTGAACCCTTTCCTTCCTTCTGCACAAGGACCCGAGGTGCATTTCTTTATGACTTTTTTTCTTTTTCTTTTCTTTTTTTTTTTTCGGTACTGGGGTTTGAACTTAGAGCCTACATCTTGAGCCACTCCACCAGCCTTTGTTTTTTGTGATGCGTTTTTTTCAAGATAGGATCTCAGGAACTATTTGCCTGGGCTGGCCTGGAATCACAATCCTCCTGATCTCTCCCTCCTGAGTAGCTGGGATTACAGGCGTGAGCCACCAGGTCAGCTCCTCTTCGATGCCCTCACCATCCCCACCCCCACCGCCCCCACACAACCCCCCATCTCCTCGCTCGTCTGTCGATTGCATTGTCACCCCAGGGCCTTTGCATGGACGGGTTAGGGTTAGGGTTCCTCCTCCTGCCACCCTCAGCAGCTTAGGCTCCAGGGCCCTGCTGTAATTTCACCTGATTCCCCAATTCTGTCCTCAGACTGGGCGAGTGCCTAAAACTACAGCCTGTGTTTGTCTTGTTGTCGCCCCTTCCGCCCCCGTCCACACACGCCTGGTGTGTAGCAGGTGAGAAATAAATATGAGCTGGCTGTGACCGACTGTGCGTCCCTCATTTCAGATGAAGAAACCAGAGCCCAGAGAGGCAGAGCCACATGCCAGGGACACACAGCAGCTGAGGGCATGGCCAGATTCTCTCTGGGCTGCAACCCCAGCTGTCACACACTTCTCCACCACTGGGGGACACGATGGGCCGTCACTAGCAGTGCAGGAAGAGGAGGAAGAGGACCAAGGACACGTGGGAAGATGTCCACGGGCCAACCAGCTTGGAAACCCCACAGCTGACATCCAGCAACTTCCGGACCAGTTTCCCGACCTAGAAGGGGATGTTAGTGAGGACGCTTTCCCAGTTCATGCTTAGTCCCCAATGAGATGGCAGAGGAAACTGGTCTGTCAGAAGCTCCCACCCTGGAAAATGTCTGAAGCCATGTTTTCTTGTCACAACCTGGGGAGGGTGTGTGTGTGTTCCTGACATCTGTGGGGCAGAGGTGACGGACACCCGACTCCAATGCAGTAGCTCACGCCTGTAATCCCAGCTACTTGTGAGGCTGAGATCAGGAGGATTGAGGCTCGAGGCCAGCCTGGGGAAGTAATTCTCAAAACCCCATGTCCAAAATAACCAGAGGAAAATGGACTGGAGTTGTGGCTGAAGTGGTAGAGCACCTGTTTTGCAATCATGAAGCCCTGAGTTCAAACCCCACCAAAACCAACAACAACAAACAAACAAAAAAAAACTCTAGGGGTAGGGTTCAGTGGTACAGTGCTGGCCAAGCTCGTCCACGTCTTGTGTCCCAGGAAGAAAAAAGAAAGGAAAGTTAACAGGGCTGAGGCAGAGACCCCAACCTAGACCTTGGGAGTGAGGCGGGGGCGCTTCGGGCAGCAGGGGCAAAGGTCCTGTGGCAGGAAGAGCATGGCAGTTCCATCCATGGAGACAAGGTCAGGGAGAGCAGAGGTGTAGTGGACACAAAGTAGGGTGGCAAGAGCGCAGGCAGGGCAGTTTGGGGTCCCCAGAGAAACAGTGGTAGGGGTCTTTTTCACCCACTAACCCTCTGAGCTGGCATCCATGGGAACCCCAGGGCAGGGCAGAAATCTGTGACATGGGCCTCTTGTCCCCAGTGCCTCAGCAGGAAGCCACACGGACAATAGCTGGGATTCCAGGAGGACTTGGAGGAAGGAAGAGGAGGGGACAGGGCTGGAGGAACCGAGGGTGGGTGAAGGGTGCTGTGATTCTGGAGAGGGTGTTGGAGGGCTGGGAACTGCAGGATAAGTAAGTTCGAGGGAGGCCAGGCCAGCAGCGCTTCCTGTGGGGAGATGACAACCTCCGGTCTGGTGAGGAGGGACCCTGAGTGACCCCAGGGATATGGGCCCTGAACCAGGGTGCAGAGAGCAGGACCGCAGCCGAGAAGTGGGCTGGGGAAGCCTCAGCTGCACCTAGTGTCCCTCAGGAGATGGGCCAGGGGTGGACATCAGCCAGGTGACCACCTCACCTGCAGGGCCAGCTCTGAGGGGTGAGTTACATATGACACTCCAGAAACTTGAGGGTGTTTATTTTTTGGCACTCAAAGACCCCAGAACAAAGTGACAACCCCAAACCGTGACAGCAAAAAGTGCGTGACCCCTCCCCCATCCCCCACCCATGACCAAGTAGGAACCCTGGAAGCCTAAAGCAGGTGGACCCGGTCAATGCAGGTTGTGACCTAAAGAGACAAGGTAAGAAAGGCTTAGGCCCCGCCCTCCGCAAACCCCACCCTCCGTGCTCCCCATCTTCTCCCAGGGCGCCTCCTCCTCACCTGTCGCCCAGAGGCCCAGAAACACCAGTGCCCAAGTCACCAGCAGGGTGGAGGGGGCCAGGGAGCCACCATTGGTCTGGGTCGTCACCTGGCTCAAGAACCTGTTCTGTTTCCTGAGGGCACAGGGGCGACCCAGTCACCCCAAAAATCGACCCCCTGACCATCTGAGTCCTGGGAGGGCCATGGGACCCATGTGCAAGCCTGTCCATCTGGGACTTGGGCGGTGTCAGCTCTCCCGGCCAGGGGTCCTGCCTTGGGGAGGGAGGGAGGAGGGTGGGGGTTCTGACCTTAGTTGGTCCAATTCTGCCGAACTGTCCTGCAGCTTCTGTCTCAATTCCATCGTCTGTTCTGGGGTGGCACAGAATGGGGAGTGATCCTCACCTGGCCCCTCCTGGGGACCCCGCCCCACCAAGCCCTCCCTGGACTCTCCCCCTCACCTTGGAGCTCCTGTATGTGCAGCTGGTACTCCTGGATCTCGGACTTCTTCTTCTCCAAGTCAGCCATCAGGGCCACCTGGGACAGGGAAAGGGTCAGAAGCTGGGTACTGCTGTCCTGGACTGAGGCCTGTGAGAGGTCAGAGGAGCTTAGCTCCAAACCTCTCTCAGGTTCTGCTCCAGCCCTGTTGCACCTGAGTCCCCAGGGCTGCCACTAACCGTGTGGTCACAGACATGGCAGTTTTGAGGCCCCCCCCATGGTAATTTGGAAACTCTCTATACCCAAACCCTAGTGGGTAGCTCCACATCCTTTGTGCTAGGACCCGGGAAGATTTAGGAGGCACCCAAACCCCGATCACAGAGGGACTTCCGGGCCCTAGTAAGATGGCCAGTGACAGTTTCAAGACACGCCCCCACCTCCCCACCATATCAGGAATCTTTTGAAAATGTCAGTGTCTCAGGAATGCAGTAGAAATTTCGAGAGCCCCTTCTTCACCTTATCGAGGATTTCTGTCCCCCAAAGACTGGGATGCAAAAGGAGTTTCAAGCCCCCCCCCACACACACACCTAGGAAGTTTGGAGACTCCTCCTCATCCTAGTGGGGACACTGAAGCCCCTGATTTGACCCAGGCCAGTGCCCTGAAAGCACTTACAGGTCCCCAAACCTGCAGGGAGATCCAGGTCCTCCTATGGGCTGCCCCCACCCCCGGCAGTTTCAAGGCCCCCCCTCCAGCTCCGTGGGGTTCTGGGGAGGGTTTCTAGGCCCCCCAGGCTCTCTGGCTCACCAGACTCCTGTTGCAGGAGACGGTTTGGTTCTTCACCCGCAGCAAGACGTCCTGGGTGCGGGTCAGCTGGTCCTCCAGAAGGTGGGTGGCATTTCGGCACCTCCTCTCTGCCTGGAGTCCGTTTTGGCAGGCCTCGCTGTTGAACTTCACAGCTAGGATGAGCAGGGACAACCCCAGAGCCACCGCCACGAGCAGCAGCCCCACGAGGCACGCCCGCGTTGCCCACCTGCAAGCCGGGGGCCCCTCTCCTTTCCAGTCGTCTGCCATGGACACCTGCGAGTAGTGGTAAAAGGCGGGCGCCATAGGACGGGTCAGGGGGACAGCCCGGAAAGGGCCGAGGAGCTCCGCAGGCCACGCCCCTCATTAGCATAGCGCTTTCCCGCCAATGGCCTCGCGCAGGGGGGCGGGGCCTTCGGTTTCGGTTTCCTGGGTTTCCTGGCCGCGGTCCTCTCCCGCACGGGGCCTCCCCCGCTGCATGCTGGCCTCGAGCCCCCCTCCCGTCCCTGTCCCTGTCCCTGTCCGCGTCCCTCTCCTGCGGTCACTGAGGCGGGGGTGGGCAGAGGCCGTCCGTCTGTCATGCCCCTCGGCCGCCTGTCTGACCCACAAGGCCAAGCTTGGGTCAGGTGTCTCCTCGGTGGCCTCGAGCCCCTCCCTCCACAAAGGGACCCCGGGAGCCAGGCAGGGCGCGTGGGCAGCGCTGGACTGCAGCCCCTTCCCTCGAAAGCCAGGCGAACCTGCCGGCCACTTCCTCGTCTGGAAAGTGGGCAGAGGCAGAAACTGCTGTCCTCGCGGCTGCGGGTGCGCATTCAGGAGGCGCTCAATAGATGTGCACGGCTAGGCCAGGCAGACACTGCTGAACGGGGCAGGGATTTCTAAGAAAAGAGCGTGTGACTGGCGCACAAAGGGCAGAGGGACTTGGGGGGAGACGGCCAGGACGGCCATCTGTGTGACCAAGGGAGCCTGGCAGCGGCTGGTCGAGTTGGGTCTGGACACCTAAGGCAGACGGGTGAGTAAGCACCCATCCCTCCGGACATTGCTAGCATTGCTGCATCCTGAAGAGCAGACACCGGCTCTGCCACGGGGCTGCTGACCACGATGCTCATCGAGACGGTGTCCCTCCCCCAAGAAGGGGCGAACCCTCGAACCCAGGGCCAATGAAGAAAACCCAGCCAACCCAGAGCGAAAACGACCCTGAAAGCCCCAGCCTTCACCTGCGCAGCTCCCGGTTTCCCTTCTCTCCTTTCTCTCCAATAAATCCCAAGTCGCTCAGCTGCGTCCCCAGCCGGTTTCCCGCCCCAGCACGTGACAGTCGGCCAGGCAGAAGGTCAGTGGGCGGAACAGGCCCCCAGGCTTCGGTCACACACCCCTCTGGAAGCCCCGTTAAAGTCACTCAGCAGCCAAGAAACAAGGGGCTGGATACCGCCCAAAACGCCCAGGGTCCTTTGGTCCCAAGAGGAGGGTCTGGCACCCTGCTGGGACCCCAGGACCAGAGCAGAACCCTGGCAGAGCCAGCACTGGAGCCGCCCCTCATGTGGGTCACCTCAGAGGTCACAAGTGCAGGCCAAGTGTGATGGTGTTCGGTCCTGGCCTGCAGCTCCTACAATCCTTGCATGCTTCTGAAAGATAGGTGACCCCGATGCTGATGAGCTGGGGTCCCTATGCTAATTAGATGACATCGATGCTAATGAGCTAACTGTGGCCACAGCCCTGGTGGCTTCAGCAGGGGTGGTCACCTGAAAGCATGGGGCATGTGTAGGAGTTGGGGCTTTCGGCCGTCCCCACTTCCAGGGATGGCAGTGATTTGGGTTTGCAGAACATTCAAGAGCCCAGGACAAACTCTATGTGGCGTGAAGAATGACAGTGGTTTTTAAGTGGGGAAGACTGTGCTGCAGGACAGACTGTCCAGGCCTGTGGACAGACTATGCCTTTCTGCCTGTGACAAGAGCTGAGTTATTGGGAACTCCGGGGTCATTTCATTTTGGAGTTGGGGTCTCACTTTTTGCCCAGACTGGCCTGGACTGAGATCCTCCTATTGTACACATCCTCTGTGGGACAGCCACCATGCCAGCCATTGGTTGAGATGGGCTCGACGGGCTCTCACTATTTCACCAGGCTGGCTTCGAGCTGCGATCCTCCTGATCTCTGCCTCCTGAGTGGCTGGGATTACAGATGTGAGCCACCGAGCCCAGCCAGAAGCCCTCTTCCAATTTGACAACAGCCTTGCAAAGTTCCAGTGTCCCTGGCAGAGAGGGTGAAGCCGAGAGCCCTGGGCCGGTGCAGAGGAGGCAGCCATACCCCTGAGGAGCCCAGGCAGCAGTGGCCTCCCCTTTCTCTGGTGAATGGTCACAGGTCAGTGTCCAGTCACTGAGCGACTGTGTGTGGTGCTGGCAATCTCTTCCCCTGAGGACTCTGGCTAGGAAATGCTTCTGTATCTGTGAAATTCAGCATTCCCCCCCAAAAGTATATCACAGTCAAACCCTTGCAGCAAATGAATAACTCCTTAGGAGAGAAACCAGAGGCCCAGCTCTGGGGTGGGGTGTGGCTTAATCACGTGCATGGGCCCCACGCCATCCTCAGCACCCCAAAACGACACAGCCAGCGTTGCTCTCGGCTCCGTCTGACCTGTCCCTTTCTGACTGCCAGGTGACCCTCCCAGCAGGTAGCTACAGTTGGGGAGCTGTTCACAGTGTGACAACAGCTGACCTCTGCCCTTGTCCCCAAGAGTGGGAAAAAGGTGCCCCACTCAGCACATGGGCAGAGCGTTCCCGCCGAGCCCCGAGTGTCACCAAGCCAGCGTCCCACTCGTGACAGCCGTTGCAGAGGCATTACAGCTTCCTGTTTCTCAGAAGAGGTTTTCAGGGTCCAGAATAGATCATTGCAACTTCCTTGAACGCAGGGCTGTTACCTAATGGCAACCTGTAATGGAGTCCCAGAAAGACTGGAGTAGTGGTGAAGGGCCACTACTGACATGGCGGGAGGAGGGACGTCCTCGGGGACTTTAGGGCTGGAGGAAGTGTGAGGGAAGCCTTGTTCACCAGCCCCACCATGACCTGGATCTGGGCTTCACAAGGACAGAGATGTCTCCGGAGCCCAGGTGGACACGGCAGGTGAGATGCAGAGGACAAGGGAAGAGGCAGAAAGCGGAGAGGAAGGGACGGGCGCGTGCGGCCACGGGGATATGGGTCAGGACGGACAGCCACGCGCCAGTGTGTACTGAATGACAAGAAGTCACAAGCTACGACAACTTGGTTGGCATTAGTTTGCCAAGTACTACTGATGTCACTTGATGACCTAGGCAGGGCAACAAGGTTCTTTTATTACAAATTCTTGTTGTTGGCAGGACTGGGGTTTGAACTCAGGGCTTTGCACTTGCAAAGCAGCTGCTCCACCACTTGAACCACACCTCCAGTCCATTTGGCTCTGGTTATTTTGGAGATGGGGGTCTCCTGAAGCATTTGCCCCAGCTGGCCTCAAACCTCGATCCTCCTGATCTCAGCCTCCCAAGTGGCTGGGATTACAGGTGTGAGCTACCATGCCCGGCTTTTTATTCCAGTCGTAATCACTAACCCTAGCTGTGCGATCACACGTAATGATATCTAGGCAATGCCGTGACAGGGTTACAGGGCGGCAGGGTTCATGGAAGCTGCTGTTCCGTAGGGCACGGGGTAACAGGAGCAGGCCCAGCCTGTTCTGTTCACGAACCACACTTACCAACACTTGCTGTATCGTGAACACATCATCAAGTTATACCCAAGGTTTCATGGCTCGTGATGACCCATTTTTATTCACTATTTAAATTAATAGTCACAGCCGGGCGTGGTGGGTAACGCCTGTAATCCCAGCTGTGCGAGGCACAGGCAGTAGGATTATGGTCCAGGTGCCTAACCTGAGGCTAGCAAGCGCGAGGCCCTGAGTTCAAACCCCAGCACCGCCAAAAAAATTAATAGCCACAGTGGGTGTCCTCCGGCATAAGTCCCAGAACTAGAATTGAGAGGTTTTGCATTTCTGCTCCAATTTTCCGGGAAAATGCAGGTCCTCTCAAGAAAAGCCTGGCGCCGCAAGGAATCTTGGGAAATGTAGTCCTGGTTAGCGGAGATCGAGTTTCTTAGCGCTGGGCTGTGATTTCCTGGCGGAAGTTGCTGAGCGCAAAAATAGTTCCAGATCTTTTTCCGCAGACGTCGTTCGTCAGCTTATCTGGGAGACACGTGGGGGTGTGGCGCCGTAGTTTTGCGCGATTGGGCAGCAGAGTTAGGCGCATGCGCACAAGGCGCTCATCGCTCGCCCTCGCAGGGCCTCCTGGGAGTTGTAGTCAGCCTCCTGCCGAATTGGGCCGTCGGAGGCTGTTGGGAAGATCCGAGACGTCCCTGCCTTCCGCGCTCGGTTCCCAGGATGGATCCCGGGTCAGGGCCTGAATCGGCGCCTCTCACCGGCTTGGCTTGGTCTTCGGCCTCGGCTCTTCCGCCGAGGGGATTCAGCGCGGTGAGGAACGGCGGGGCGGGCGGGTCGTAGAGGGCAGCGACAGCAGCCTGGGCTGACCGGGTCCTCCCCGCAGATCTCCTGCACCGTGGAGGGCGCGCCCGCCAGCTTTGGCAAGAGCTTCGCACAGAAATCCGGCTACTTCCTGTGCCTGAGCCAGCTGGGCAGCCTGGAGGTGAGCGGCACCCCCCACTGCCCCCCGCCCTGTCCACTCGCGAGGCCACGCCCCCGCTCACGAAGCCACGCCCATCCCCTACCGGTCCGCCCGCGAGGTCACGCCCCCACGGCTGATTCCCCACCCAGTCCGCCCTCGAGGCCCCACCCCTCCCGCCTGGCCGGCTCACGAGGCCACGCCCCTCCGAGCCCGCTTGTGAAGCCACGCCCCCTCCCTGGTCCGCTCGCGAGGCCCCGCCCCCAGGCTGATCCCCGCCCCTCAGAACCCGCAGGAGAACGTGGTGGTGGACGTCCAGGTCGTGCTGGACAAGAGCGCTCTCCCGTCCGGCTTCGTCCCGGTCTGCGACCCCCTGGACTCCAGTAAGACCCGCGAGGTGGGGGGAGACATGGGTCTCCAGTCCTCCCTCCCTCCAGGCTTGCCTTCCCATGCCCCCTCCTCTAGGGCCCGCAGCCCGGTGGCTTCAGCCACCCAAGCCACCCCTTTTCCTTTGTGCAATTGGCAGCTTTTATGTACAGGTCACTCACAGACCAGCATATGACGTTTGTGGTCTCTAAAAATGTAAAAGCCCTTCTGGCTTCAGAGGGCTGGATTTGGCTAAGGAACAGGACTTTGCTAACCCCAAAGGAGACGACCAAGGGGCCTTGAGATTTGGAGGACCAGGATGGACGCTCCATGGGTGCTCCTTCCTGTCTCCAAAGATCAGCCTGCTCCAGTGGCTCTAATGGCTTTGTGCAGTCCCCTCCTGTGACTATACTACTTGTGATGTAGGCACCCCCAACACTGCCCAGATGGCTGCTTAAACAGCGCCCAGAGGAGCACCCTCCTAGATCCATCTTTGGGTATCCCACCCTTACCCGCTTCCCCCTCTCACCCCCCTGTCCCCAACTTCCAGAGGCCTCTGTGTCCAAGAAGAAACGCATGTGCATCAAGCTGATGCCCCTGGGGGCCGCGGACACGGCAGTGTTTGATGTCCGGCTGAGTGGCAAGACCAAGACTGTGCCTGGATACCTGCGAGTAGGGTAGGGCTGCCCAGCCTCCCACCCCCTTTCCTGCCCTTCCACCCTCAGGCCCTCCTTGCAGCCCTCCCGTCCCCCCGCCACTTCTCTGTGCTGGAATGGGCACCGCTGTAGCACCCTGTGGGGAGGTGGGTGTCTGAGCAGGTGGCTGTGGCTTAGGTTGGGGGTGAGATGATGCAAACAGAGGTCACTCATGGAGCAGCCACCGTTCCTTCTCTCCATCCAGGACATGGTGGCTTTTCCATTTGGTGCAAGAAGGCCAAGACCCGAAGCCAGTGCCCAAGCCCGAACTCTCAGCCAGGACATGCGGGGCCTCTCGCTGGACCCTCCCAGCCAGCCCAGGTGAGCCCTTGGGGACCGGGGTGGAGGGTCAGGAGGGGGGCTAGGTCTGACCAGGGTCACTGTCTCCCATCCACCAGCAAAAGCAGCTTGCCCGAGCGGACACTGTCCAGGCTGGGCTCGCGGGCGTCCACTCTGCGGAGGAGTGACTCCGTCTATGAGGCGTCCAGTCTCTATGGCATCTCAGGTGAGCGGGGTGTAAACTGAGGCACAGAGGTAGGGCATGCCTAGTCCAAGGCCTGTGCTGGAAGGGTTGGATCCAGGCCTGAACCCACCCCTGGCACTTCGGGTTTTGTTTCTTGATTGTTTGGGTTTTTTTGGTTTTGTTTTTTTTTTTTGATCCTGGAGTGGAACCCAGGGCCTCAAGCACACCTGTAGGCACTCACCACTGAGGGGTGCTCAGCTCTGTACCCCAGCTCTGGATGCCGTAGAGACTGGGGGGCCTTGGGTGGGGTAGGCAATGGGTAGCTGTCCAGCCCTTGCCCGCAGCCCTTTCTTGATGTGATTCTTCCAGCCATGGATGGGGTTCCCTTCACACTGCACCCCCGATTTGAAGGCAAGAGCTGTGGTCCCCTGGTGAGTTGGGGCTTCAGAGAACCTGGGTCCCCTTGTCTGGTCACCTTGTCTGTTCAGCCGTCTGGCCAGCAGGCCCTGCATCCTGGGCTGGGGGAAGGGTAGAGGCCAAGGGAGGCAGTCCTAGGGGAGGTAGGGGGACCACTGACACCAGTAGCTAGAGGCCAGGTGGGAAGTGGGGAGTGTCTGTCCAGGCAAAGATGCCAGTGGGGTTCCTCAAAGATGGGGAAGTGGGAGCCAGACTCAGGAGGCAAGCAGGAGGATGGTGAGCTCCAGGCCCACTGGGGCTACACAGTAAGATCCTGTCTCAAAAGGGAAAAAGCAAAGGGAACAGGGGTCCCCAGTGGGATCCAGGTGCAGACTAACCTAGTCCTGCCTGCCAGGCCTTCTCTGCCTTCGGGGACCTGACCATCAAGTCGCTGGCGGACATTGAGGAGGAGGTGGGTGTCGGGGTACAGCATGGTTGGTGCTGGGAACACCCCCCTCTCAGGAACCCCAAGCTCCCCTGTCCTCCAGCACACCCAGCTCTCTAAGGCTGGGGACAACTTTTCCCTAAACGCCCGGCCATGTCCCCGTGGGCCTCCCTACGCAGCCCTCCCTCACTGGCTCTCTGCCCCCCCAGTATAACTACGGCTTTGTGGTGGAGAAGACGGCGGCTGCCCGGCTGCCCCCCAGTGTCTCCTAGCGCCCTGTGCCAGATACCACGGCCCGAGGCCACCCCGCCTCGGTCACCTGCCTCGCCCATCCCGGAAACTCCAAGGCACAGGACGGCCATCAGGACCCCAGCCACGCAGACAGAGGAGCCAGGAGAGAAGAGGGGCACCAAGGCCTCGTGGGATGGGGTCTCTCACCTGGGTGCTGCCTGAGAACAGGGGTGGGGCTGGACCGGAACCGGGGTCTTCAAGTGACAACTGTCAAAACTGCTGCCTGCCCAGAGGCGCCGCAGGCAGCTCTGGTAATAAACACTACCTGTCCTGCTGCCTGGAGTCCTGGCCCTGCCCTGGTTCCCACGTACATAAAATCATGGCGGGGAGGCCCCGGGGACACCCAGTCAGCCCTGGATGGTGGACATAACAGTATGTAACATCAGGAGCTACTGCTTCTGTCACGGTGACCACATCCCCAGCAAGAGTCCAGCGGGAATTCCAGGCTTTTATATTTTTACTGATGGGGAAACTGAGGGAGGGGATGCTGAGGTCACAGCTGGGGTTTGAACCCAGAGTCGTGCGTGTCTCTTCTCTGCAGTGACGTCCTATGAGGTAACCATGGACATCACTGGGGTCTGGGGGTACAGGGTTAGGGTTAGGCCCCTGTGGCCTCTGTCACCAAGGTGCCTGCTGCGTAAAGCCCTCTTAGTAAGTGGGGTGACCTCCAGCTGCGGAGGTCCAGGCTGCATATGGACACCGGGCAGCGTCTCAGCGCTGGGCGTTGTCCTCAACGGTGGTGAATTTGGGTTACAAACGTGGTGGTTCTTGGTGTCCCAGCTCCGCGTCCTCGGGTTCAGCTAATGGAAAATCCTGGTGGCAGAATGGTGCTTGTGCTGAAGGGGAGACTTTTTCCGCTCCTGTTCCCTAAGCCACAAAGAAGCCACTGTGCACAGTGCTACGTTGTGTCAAACTGCTACACTGTCATACTGCTATACTGTGTCACACTGCTACACTCACTGCTACAATGTCACACTGCTACACAGTGCTACACTGTCACACTGCTACACTGTGTCACTGCTACACTGTCACTGCTACACTGTCACACTGCTACACTGTCACGGTGCTACACTGTCACACTGCTACACTCACACTGCTACACTGTCACACTGCTACACTGTCACAGCTACACTGTCACACTGCTACACTGTCACTGCTACACTCACTGCTACAATGTCACACTGCTACACTCACACTGCTACACTGTCACACTGCTACACTGTCACTGCTACACTGTGTCACTGCTACACTGTCACACTGCTACACTGTCACTGCTACACTGTCACACTGCTACACTGTGTCACTGCTACACTGTGTCACTGCTACACTGTCACAGTGCTACACTGTGTCACACTGTTACACTGTGTCACTGCTACACTGTCACAGTGCTACACCATGTCACGGTGCTACACTGTCACGGTGCTACACTGTCACTGCTACACTCACACTGCTACACTGTCACACTGCTACACTGTGTCACACTGCGACACTGTCACACTGCTACACTGTCACGGTGCTACATTGTGGTGTTGGGTCGCATCCCGGGTTAAAGAGCCAGCGGAGGCAAAGTTGCCTCGGTACACAGGCAACTGGGAACCTTGGCATGGAAGAGCTTGTAAATCCCACGAGTGATGGCCACAAAATGGCGCCACTGAGCTGTCCTGGAAGGGGACAGAACTTCTGCCACTTCAGAAAAGCCAGGCCTCTGGCGCCACAGCACCGGCCAGCATTGGGAGCAGCCAGCACCTGGCCAGGCCGATCTGGCGCCAGCCGCAGAATCCGATCCGGCTGGAAGCAAAGGCCATTTGTTTCCTCCGGTCACCTTCAAGTTGCCCCGAAACGGCCCCGATCACTTTCCAGGGCGTCCGGGTGACCCACGCTGCCCTTCACTCCACTGGATCGGCCATCCTCCCTCTCCCCACCCAGCCACCTGGTCAGGGTGAGCAAAAGGGAGGCCATGTTAGGATCGGATCCCACCATGGCAGGCAGCTTGCTGGAAACGCCCCACCATCCCCTGGAAGGGCCACACCTGGCCTCAAGGGAATGACACTCTCACCTCGGGGTCCAGAGGAGCTGTCACCTCGTGGGGAGTGGGGGGGGTGGGGGGGCTCCGCTTACCTCCTCTAGCTTCCCCTAGCCATTGTGAACCCTGGAAACAATTTTCCCACCCAGCAAAACTTCCCCTCCAGACCCCTCCCTCTAAGCAGTGGGTCCCGACTTTGGCTGGAAATTCCCGAATAAACCCCGTGCTTTGAGCCATCTCCCTCCTGACACCACCCATTCCTGGGAGCCCAGCCAGGCCTGGGGACAGAACCCAATGGGTCACTCTACCAGCTTCTGACCACACGTCACACACGTCACGGGACTCACCCCACTAACCTGCCCCCCAGCCTTCTGTGTCTGGCTTCTTTCGTTCAATGTCACTTCTGCAACAGGGCAGCCTGGTCATGGAGTCACCTGTTGGGTCCTGGTGGCTCCCCCAGGTGTCTCTGGGTGGGCACGGGCTCACTGCTCTTGGGTAATGCTGGATGTGGGGTGTCCCTCTGGGGTGCTGATGGCTGGGTCCCCAGCCTGTGGCTGTAGGGAGATGGCGGGACTGACTGTAAGGGGGAGCAATGACAGAGATGACTCCATTTTGGATAGGGAGACATTTTAGAAGTGGACATCTAAAGAGATATGAGAAACAACAGGCTTCTCACCAAAATAACAAAATGCAGCTGCAACGTGTGGGCAATGGGCCCCAAGGCCAGGATGAGCTGACCAGACCTCAAAATATTCTGTTCGGTAAGGAGGGGGTCGGGCAGGTGGCCGGGTTCAGGGAGAAGCTGACTCAGTGCCAAGCAATCACAACTACAGTTTCAAGGTAGAATAGTGGGGCCTAAGCCAGGCGGAGCCCATGTCAGTCCTAGACTTGGCCATACACGGCTCAGCTTCCCTAAGCCCCTCGGGTCCATGCGGGAGCTTTGCTGGGCATCCAATAACCTTGTGCTCTCTTACTCTTGACTCCTGGTCGTGTCACTCTTCACTCATCAGCTGGGCCTGACACAAATCTGGGATCAGTAATCTGGTATCAGGACCTTTGTGTGTGGGGGCGCCTGTGGGAGGAGCTAGGGCATTGGGGGCGTGGCGTCGAGTGGAGTGACCCTGACTCCTCCCACTTCTCTACTTTGATTCCCAGCCAGGAGCTGAGCAGCTGTGCTGCCTCCCCACAGACCCAGAGGAACGCCACCAAGTAGCCAAGTGCCCAAGTGACTGAGTTCAGACCATGGACTGAAACCTCCAAAACCATGAGCCAAAATAACTCTTCTCTGTTTACCAGGGCACTATTTATTTATTTGGTGGCACCAGGATTTGAACTCAGGGCCTCGTTCTTGCTAGGCAGTCACTCTACCACTTGAGCCACTGCACCAGCCCTTTTATGTGATAGGGTCTCACAAAATATTTGCCTGGGGCTGGCCTCAAACTTTGATCCTCGTGATCTCTGCCTCCTGAGTGGCTGGGAGTACAGGCCTGAGCCACTGGCACCCGGCTTCTTCTTCCACTTTTACTCCATGAGAACCCAGCCTGTTGGACAGTGTTCGGGGCGGGTCTTCCCCCTCACTTGCTGTCCCACATGTCAATCATCCCTGGCCCCGCCCACACAGGCTCACCGGAAGTGTGCTGTACCAGTGCCCTGTCAGTCAAGTTCACAGCAGAGAAGCAGAACAGAACTATAACAAAATGCTGGAGCAGGTACCGTACAAACTAAAGAGATTTACCTGGGCCCAGGTTCTGGAGGCACTGGGTCCAAAGAGCAAGGTTCTCTGATAGACAAAACGACCACCCCTAAAAGAGCAGAACATCAGCAGTGTGACCTGAGCTGGGCTCAGGTGGGTGGGCAGGTGTCTTATGAAGAAGGACCTGAAGCCTGGCTGGCTCCTGGACGGCTGTGCCTTTGCCTGCCAAACCCTGATCAGGTGCCGGGGCCGACTGCGTGGCTCCCCTGGCTGGCCGGTGCCCAGGGGAGGATCAGGCTGGGCTGTGGGGCCCCCGCCGGCCTCAGTAGGACAAGTGGGGACCAGGGGACGGTTTAGAGGTCATTGAGCGCCTGGGGTGCACGTTTAAGATGCTGCAGGCACCCAAGGGGCCTCCTTGTGTTTTAATGTAGGTGGAATTTATGTGACATAGAATTAAAAGTGCACACTTCAGTGGGTTACCACACTCACTGTGTGCAAGGCCCCCCTACCCTGGTGTGATTCCCAGTACATCCCATCCCCGAAAAGGAGACCTGTCCTCAGCAGCAGTCACTGCAGCCCCTGCTCCACCTCCTGTCTGGCATTTCCTCTCCATGGTTCACACAGTGCATGGCCTTTGTGTCTGGATCTGTCACTGTCCATGTTGTGCCGTGCGTCGGAGCCATTTTCCTGGCTGAGTAATATTCCATTGTTTGTTTATTCATTTACCTACTCATGGACGTGGCTGACTTTTCTCTGCTGTTCTTCTCATCCTGGAGGCCCTGCAGGGCCCTGGGAGGGAGAGGCTGCTGAGGGAGGGACCTCTGGGGACATCTGTCCACTGGTGATGCAGGTGGCACTGAGAGCAGCCCAAGGAGATTCGTATTGAACATGTCTTGGGGTCCCAGCGAGGCCCCCAAGGGACATGTCTGGGGACTTCGAATCGACACCTGCCCGTCCCGTCGGTCACTGTGGCCACCGCAGGCTGAGGTGGTTTCGTTGCTGGTTGAGGAGCACAGAGAGTGAGCACGGGAAGTTCACTTCAGGTGCTGCAAGACCGGAAGGGGCAGGACCAGAGCAGGTGCCCGTCCTCTGTTCTTCTGCACGCTGAGCCGGGGCTGTGAGCCGGGTCCTTTCCCGTCAGTCACAGCATGGACGCCACTGACTCGCACTGAGCAGTCACTGAACGGCTCACGTGGGGAGCCTGAGGCTTTGGGGCCATCTCCTGTCCCCATTGTACAGACAAGGAAACTGAGACACAGACCAGAGGAGCCCGCAGCCCACCACCCAGAGTCGGGGTCCAGCCCTTCACCCATGGTTCTGAGCTCCCGGAGTGGCGGGCATCAGAGAGTCCACGATTGAGCCATCTGTCCACAGCATGGGCTGTACGGGGCCTGAGTGCAAATCCTGACTCTGGTGCTCAGAATTGGGACCCCTGGTGAGTCACTGCCCCTCGTGGGGCCTCGGTTTCCTCATCTGTGAAATAGATAGAGACGTTAGAGAATCAACACTGACCTCCTTCCTCTCCCATCTATAAAAGCACCTCACTCATCTCATTTCCAAGCCTCCCCTGCATTGAGATCTGATCATGTGAGTGTGTTCTGGCCCCAAAGCCTCAAGGAAGACTTCCAGAAGATAACTGAGCCAGCCCTGGCCTTTGCCTTTCCTTTTTAGTGAGGAGGTGAAGGCTGGGGCCCTGGCAGCCATTTTGCAGGGCCATGAAGCAATCTTACATCCAAAACCTAGGGATGCTGTGAACTGTCAAAAACCCAGTCCTCCTCCTGCAGCAGCTGAGCACGGACCTGCCTCCACCCTGTCATCTTCTTGCTGCCACACACCAGGTGTCCACCCCGAGGCCGGGGCTCACACCAGCGTGGAGTCCTTGCCTGAGGCCCCTGACCTGTGGCCTAGCACAGTACGCATCTCATGAGTGACCCCATCCCAGAGTCCCAACCCAGCCAACAGTGTCTGGGGAATATGGGGTGCAGGCAGGCTGCTCTCCCAGCTTCCCCCCAAGGCTGCAGGTGCCCTGGCAGTGGCCAGGGGCGCAGGGGGACCCTCAGGCTCCAGGCAGGATGCATAGAGGATCCGGTGGTGGGTACCCTGCTGGGGCTGAGCCCCGGGGCCAGCCTGGGAGACCTCAGCAGCGCGGGTGGGATCGTCCTCAAAGCATGGTGGGGACAGCTCGTGCAGTCCACGGCGGGTGGCTCGTGCAGCCCGGAGCAAAGTGTGGGTCAGCGCAGCCACCAGAACCAGGGCACCTGAGCCAAGGATGGACGCTGCAGCAGCACCTGTCTCAATCTCGAAAAGCAGCAGGGCGTAGATGGAGAGAGCTAGGGAAGGAAGTGACTCTCAGTTATGCAATCAGCAAACGTCCCTCACAGACATAGTCATGTCCATCGAGCAGAGGCACAGGTAGGGGGAGGGATGGAGGAAGGAGAGAGACCGTGGGACCACGAGAGGGCTGTGGGTTGTATTTTAAGAATAAGGGGAGTGTGGAGCCACCGGTTCTGAGTTGGGGGGGGGGGGTCTTGCTACGAGGCCCAGGCGGGCCTTGAACTCCTGACCTCAAGGGATCCTCCTGCCTTCCACACAGGCCCCTCTGGCTCCATCTAGGTTCTGAGGAGCCCCAGGCCGGAGGCGTGGCCCGGCAGTGGGTGGCGGTCACGTGGCCCGGTCTGGCCTATCAGAGCCAGTCCTGGGCTTGCTGGGCGGAGCTTTCTTGGGGCGGGGCGGGGCGGGGAGCAGCCCCAGGCCCCGGGACCTGATGGCGCTTTCTGGGCTGTTTTCAAGCTTTTCTCTGACTCCCACCTCCTGCTGCTGAAGATGCCACACTGGGTCGTGTCTGACTTAGTGGACGAAGCCACAGACTTGTTGCTTTCCCCTTTTTGAAATTATTTTTTCATCATGATTGTTTTGGCTCAGGCTGGCAATGAATGGAGGTTGGCTGCAGGGCTGGGGAATTCTTGCTAGGTGAGGTCACCTAACCTCAAAACCGATGCCACCGGGGGAAGGAAGAAGTGTGTCTCACCCTTAGTGAGGCCGATACTTGTGACCCTGCCCTGTGTTTGCTTTTACGAAGAGAATGTCTTATTGTCTCCCACGAAACAGTCTGAGGTGGCAGGCATTGCGTCAACAGTGCACTTGGGAGGCAGAGATCAGGAGGATCGGGGTTCGAGGCCAGCTTGGGGGGAAGGGCACGCAGAGAGACCCCATCTCAACCATTAAAAACCTGGTCAAGGTGGGGCACACCTGCCGTCCCAGCTACACGGGAGGCAAAAGCAGGAGGGTCAAGGTCCAAGCCAAAAAAAAAAAAATCCCACCGGAAAAATAACAAGCAAAAAGGGACTGGGGCCATGGCTTAGGTGGAAGACCGCCTGCCTAGCAATCCTGAGGCCCTGAGTTCAAAGCCCAGTACCAGCAAAATTAAATGAATAAAATGAAATAAAATAAAAGTGAAACCACCCACGACGGGGGAGTTTGTGTTCACCCCAATGGACAAAGCCGATTAGAAGTATCTGCTGACAATTGCTTGTGCACCTCAGAGCCTTTTATGAACAAATATCCCACAGCAGTTGTCTGGGGCAGGGACAGTAACCATCCCACTGTATCAATGAGGAAACTGAGGCACAGAGACAGTGAGCCCAGGACCCAGAGGGAAATGGGGTTACCCAGAATAACCCAGTGAGCTGCTGTGACAGCTTTCCACCCCAGCCTGGGGTCTTGTACCCAACGCCCCAACCCAGGCACACACCTGCTAAGTAGACACAGATCCCACAGCAGAACAGCCCCATGGCCACATGTCTGATGAGGCGACAATCGTAGAAAAACCAGTCAGACCTGGGATGGGGGGAAAAAGAAGAAAGCTCAGAAGGCAGGGATGTTGGGGGACTGATAAGGAGACAGATGGAGAGCAGTCCCCATGAGAGGAGGGCAGCTTTGGATGAGCGATCCATGGAAGATCCACCAGAATCCATCCACCCATCCACCATCCATCCATCCATCCACCCATCCACCCATCCACCCACCCATCCACCCACCCACCCACCCATCCATCCACCCATCCATCCCACTCCATCCCATCACCCATCCACCCATCCATCCATCCATCATCCATCCATCCATCCACCCATCCATCCACCCATCCATCCATCCACCCACCCATCACCCATCCATCCACCCATCCATCCACTCACCCATCCATCCACCCATCCACCCATCCATCCACCCATCCACCCACCCATCCATCCATCCATCCATCCATCCATCCACCCATCCATCCACCCATCCACCCACCCACCCACCCATCCATCCATCCATCCACCCACCCATCCATCCATCCATCCATCCACCCATCCACCCACCCATCCGCCCATCCACCCACCCATCCATCCATTTGTCTCTCTGTCCCTCTATCCACCACTCCTCCTACCCCATAACCGGTCATGTACATAAGTCCATTCAAACATCCAGCACTCAGGAAGCAGCTACTAAATGCAGGTCCTTAATAAACAGCTGGCTTCTATCACTTTGTAGACCACAGCTGTGTGTTGGAGGTGAGAAACTGGGGTAGCTTAATGTGAATGGTGGAGGTTCTGAGGGCTTCTAACCTGCTCCCCTTCCACAAGTACAATGAAAGCCTTCTCCTTCCTGGACTCTCAGACACCTTCTCAGCCGCCTCGTTTTTGGTTTGTGGCCAGCAGGAATAATTCCAAATCTGAGTCCAATCACCTTCCTTCATTTCCTGCCTTCCTACACAGGTAAACATGGCCCAGTCCCTTTCTTCATCCCGCTCATCTCCCCTCTAGCCACACCAGCCACTTCAGTCCCCCACTAACCTGCCAAGCTCATTCCTGCCCTTGTGGTTATCTCTGCTTGATCACAGTCCCCCAGACCCTTCACCCCCTTCCTCCTCAGGTCTGAGCTCAGCCTCCCTGACCACCTCTTCTCCACTCCATCCCATCACCCCGTTCTCTTTGCTTCTCAGAAGGTACATCTGGCTCCATGGAGTCCCTGCTGTGTCTCTGACACCCAGAGGCAGCCCCAGTCCCCTGCCGTGCTGAGCAGGTTTGGGGACTGAGGAACAGCTTCAGCGCCCACGGGGTGAGTGGGATCTGTCCTAGTGGTGGACGTTCCCGACTCCTAAGTCCACTGTAACATGGACCTGAACCTGTGCTTCCTGTCCCCAGCCCTAAGCAGCACCCTGGAGAGAAAGACGAGTGACAGGGAAGGCAGGTCCTTGGTGGAGGAAGGTTACTCACTGCCCCTGGACAGGCCCCTGCCCCTGGACAGGCCCCTGTGCCCACACCCTAAGCTCAGGTCCCAGAGCTCTGCCACAACCAGGTTCAAATCCAGAGCAGTCACCTCCAAGCCAGGCTGCCTGGAGATAGCAGCCGCCCCTGTCTGAGCTGCAGTTAAAGACCAAACTGGGCACTGGTGACTTTCACCTGTGATCCCAGCTACTTGGGAGGCTGAGATTGGGAGGAAGGTGGTTCAAAGCCAGCGGGGGGAAATAGTTGAGAGACCGTATCTCCAAACTAACCAGAACAAAAATGGTCTGGAGGTGTGGGACAAGTGGTAGAGAGCCTCTTTTGCAAGTGAAAAGCCCTGAGTTCAAATCACAGTCCCTCCAAAAACAACAGTGAGGACCAGCTAGGCTGGGTGCGCTCTTGCGGAGCACGCGCAGGGGCCTGGATTCCATCGCAAAAAAGAATGAAAAGGAGAGAGGAGGATGGAGCGGGCTTCCTGAGCAGGGATGGGCCAGCTGACCTCCGACCTCCTGAGCCCCAGTTTCCTGCTTGCCAAAGGGGTCTCCGCGGGCATTGCACCTGCTGTGATTTCCAGCAGCTATGGAAGAAGGAGAGCCTTGGGCAGCGGCGTCCGGTCCTCCTACCTGCCTGGGCCAGGCCCCCGCGCCAGCTCGGCGCCCAGGTGTCCGCAGAGGGCGGCGAGCAGCAGGCCGGTGAGACCGAGCACCAGGGCGAGCGCGGCCAGCGCGGCGGCCAGCGGCAGCAGCGCCCCCGCCGCGTCCTCGGGCAGCCCAGGGCCAGCGCCTCGCACCGCGCCCAGCCCCGCACCCAGCCCCGCACCCGGCCCCGCGGCGCGCGGTCCCCGCAGCTCTGCGCGCCCCGCCTGCAGCTGGAACAGCAGCTGCGCGGCCAGCACGGCCAGCACGGCCGCCGGGATGCCCAGCAGGGTCATCGCGGCCAGCACACGGCCGCCGTACGCCGGGGCCATTGGGTTCGAGCGGCTCGGGGAGGAAGCGGGACAGCGGGCGCGCCGGAGGTGCCGGGGTCGGATGAGGGGTGCAGGGGTGCGGGCCGCGACTGCGACGCTGGAGCTCCGCGAAAACTCGCCAGCAAGTTTTGTCCTGGCTGCGGGGCCCCAGCAGGGCGGGGGCCTGGCTCCGTGCGGAGTCAGCGGAGGGGCATGGCCAGCCGAGATGTGGGCGGGGCCATTGGGGCGGGGTCCTTTGATGGGCGGGACCACTCGGTGTGTGGGCGGGACGATGGGCGGAGCCAGTGGGGGCGGGGCCTGGGATGGGCGGAGCATTCCACGGGACTGGAGGAGGACGCAGATCGGGCGGGGCCGGTGGAAGAGTTGGAGGGGGCATTGGGAGGCGGGGCCAGTGGAAGGGTGGGGCGGGATCTGGCGCAGGGGCTGGGCCTGGGCGGGGCTTGGTGGGGCGGGGCCTGCGTGGAGCCGGGTGGTTATTCTATAGGGGGCGGGGGAGGGGATGCTGCGGCTGGGTTTAGGGATCCTGACAGTTCTGAGTTTCAACGGTACACACATATCCCTGCTATCCTAAGCACCCGTTTTATTGTATTTTTTAAAAATAGATTTGAACAAACCGGGTGCACACCTGTAATCCCCGTTACTCAGGTGGCAGAGATCAGGAGGATCATGGTTCCAAACCAGCCCGGAGCAAATAGTGTGCCAGAAGAGACCTTGTCTCAGAAATACTCAACTCAGAAAAGGGCTGGCAGAGTCCCTTAAGGAGTCGATTGCCTGCCTGGCAAGCGTGAGGCCCTGAGTTCAAACCCCAGTATCTGCCTTATATATACAATTTGAACAAAGTTTTAAATAATTCCTCTCTTGTGTGCATTGCCCTCCACACTTAGGAAACGTTATTTTTTCCTCTGGGTCCTCTTGATCCCTTCCCCAGCCGGGTGCCATGTTTTCCCCATAGCACAGGTGTATTTCCTTTTTTAAAAAATTACATACATTATTGGTACAAAAGGGTTTCACGGCAGGCGTGAAGTCTTCAGTTCAAATCCTAGCCTCACAAAAAAAAAAAAGAAGAAAAGCAAATCGAAGTAGCTAGGGCTCAGCGACTCATTTGGATGGAGCTGCAGCTCCGTGTTACAGGTGTTAGGGACACGAGATACATCATACTTGGATTTATTTATTTAGCAAATAACGATGGCCCACCCACCTTGTCCCCAGCTTGGGCGATCCCGTGGTGACCAGGACAGGGCACTCGCCTTTCTGGGGCTCAGCCTGGTGCGGAGGTGGAGGCATTCACTGGACCCCAGTGGGGGGACAATTCCATAAAGTGCCCAGAGTCATTAACGGTGCTGTTTTAGGGTTGGCGTGGGGAGGGGCCACAACTACCATGGGTCACACACACATGTCACAGATGCACCCATTGAGGCCCGTGAGGGACGGCTGAAGCATCGCCACTGTCCTGAGCCCCGATGCCCGGCCCAAGTCGGGATGGACCAGAATAGGAAGCGAGATCTGGGCCCCTGGTTCCGCTGTCCCCGGCCCCCTTCCCCCTCTACTCAGACCCCGCCTCCCAGCCCGAGTAGCGCTGCTAGTTCCCATGGACACGCGTCGCTTTCTGAAGGCCCGCAGAGGATGAGCGATTTACATCTCATTTGCATGTTTGGTTCCGCCCCCGAGCACGCACCACCCCCATCCTGCCGCCAGGGGGCGCCAAGACAAAGAGGTCGGTCAGTGAGCAGAGCCAGCCGGGGTCCTGGCTTCTGGAAGGACCTTGCCAGGTGGGACTGGCCTTATGAATCCCTGAAGAAAGCAAGAAGGCTGAGAGAAGGGAGGTGACAGTCACTTAGCGAACGGAAATGACAACCTCGCAGTCCCAAGCCGGGGAGTGGTTCTACCGGAGTTTCTAATTTCTGTAGTCTACCGTACTCCGCGGGGATCCACGGGTCCCCCAGGGACGGTGCAGCCCTGGCTGGCGGCCTGGGGTCCCAGGACACACGACACCAAATAGTGAAACGCACCCCTTGCAAAATAAAGTTCTGCTGGTAAAGGATTGCTGTAATTTTGCAAATGCAATATTTTGGGCAATGTCTCAATATTTCTAGGTATTCTTAAAAAGCAGGTGCACGAGGACAGGCGCTGGGTTAGGGTTAGGGTTAGGGTTAGGATTGCGACTCCTCCGACCCTGTCCCCTCTTGCCCGGGGTTTCGGGGACCCTGCCTGCTCCGCCCCCCAGAATCCGGCCCCTCCTGGAAGTGGGGCTCAAAACAGACATCATCCCACCCCCACTACAACACCTCCCCCCTCGCCACCCCCACATCACAGCCCCCCAGCCCTGTGCTGAACAGAGGCGTCCCCCATCCCCTCCTCTTCTGCCCTGTGCTCTGCCTGCCCCTCCCGTGGGGTGTTCAGGTCACGCCGTCACCACCCCGCGCCCCAATCCCTCTTCCCCATTCCCTCCACGCAGGGACACCCTCCACCTTGGGGACACCCTTCACCTTGGGGACACTCTCCACCTTGGGGACACCCTTCACCTGCCCTCCACCTTGGGGACACTCTCCACCTGCCCTCCACCTTGGGGACACCCTCCACCTGCCCTCCAACCGAGGGACCTGAGCAGGACAGGGCTCCTCCAGGCCGCCCCGCCCCCACGGGCCCCGCCCCCACGCCCCCCCCGTCAGAACCACGCCCCGGCCCCGCCCCCCGCCCCGCCCCTCGGCTCCGCGTCCACGCGGTACTTGCAGCGGCGCAGCGGCTCGGTGAGGCTCCGCGGCGCGGGGTCGTCCAGGTCCTCGGGCTGCAGGAAGTTGCGGTCCAGCACCTCGGCCGCCTCCTGCCAGTTGGCGAAGCAGGCGGGGCCCAGGCGCTGGATCTCGTCGGCCGCGTCCCGCGTGAGCACGTCCCCGCCCGGCTTGAGCACCACCACGGCCGGCAGGTGCTGCACCGAGAACTGGCGCCCGAGGTCCCTGCGGGCAGATGCGGGGTGGTGACCGTGGTCCCCAGCCCGGACCTCCTGCAGGACTTCTGAGTGTAGTGCCCTCATCTTGCCACTGGGGGCGCGCGAGGACCAGAACCACCGGGCCTGCGCCCACCCCAGGGCCTTTGCACCTGCTGCGCCCGCAGCGCCACCTCACACTTGTGCTGGATAAGACCCCGTTTCATCCAGATTTCAGCCCCCCGTCCCGTCTTTACCCACCCTGTGCAGCGTGTCTCCCCTAGGGCCTTTCAGCATCCAGCATATTATTTATGAAAATGATTTATACCATATTATTTATGCCATGAAAACCATAAAGAAATATTAAGCTGGGTAGAGAGCCACGGACAGGGAGGCCACTCCAAGCAGATGGCCTTTGAGCTGACATCTGTGGGATGAGGAAGGGAGAGCTGGGGACGGGTATCCCAGGCAGAGGGCAGCACATGTGCAAAGGCGCTGAGGTGGATGTTTGGGGTACAGCCCCCTCACGCAGATTCCGGTGTTCTAAGTGTTAGGGGGAAGTCAATAAGAAACTGTCTGAAACCCCAGGAGACCCAGTACCAAACCCCATCTGGGCCAGAACCCACACTGCCTGCCCACAGGTGCCAGTTGTTTTTTTGTTTTGTTTTGTTTTGTTCTGGGGTTTTTTTTGGTGATACTGGGATTTGAACTTAGAGCTTCACACTTGCTAGGCAGGCGATCTACTACTTGAGTCACTCCATCAGCCCTTTTTTGTGAAGGATTTTTTTCAAGAACTATTTACCTGGGCTGGCTTCAAACTGTGATCCTCCTGATCTCTGCCTCCTGAGTAGCTGGGATTACAGGCATGAGCCACTGGCCCCCAACTTTCTTTTGTTTTTTTGATACAGGATCTCACTGTATCACCCAGGCTGGCCTTGAACACTTGATCTTCTGGCCTCAGCCTCCTGAGTGCCGGGCACAGGCATAGCCACCTCACCCAGCTCCGAGTTTTGATAGGAAGTCTGTCTGCCATCTTCACCGCTGCCCTTTCTTTCCTTTTCTGTAGAGGGGAGCAGGAAGTGTTTCTCTCTCTCCCCCATTTCTCCCTATTTTATCCTGCTTTACACAAACACATCCTTGTGAAAAGTTTAAAAAGAGTTGTCATTCGGCTGCACGGGCAGTGTCCCCATGACAGTGCCATGGCCAGAAACCCTTGGCCTGTGCAACAGTCACGACCTCTGCCACTCGCACTCAGTTGGCTCAATGCAAACCACACCGGGTGTAGACAGTCAAAACGGCGACAACTGCCAACACTTCTTTCAATTTTTTGCTGCATTTGAATTCTCTGACTCAGTGCTGACTAGGCAGGTGCTCACCACTGGAAATGTTTTCATAATAAGAAGTTGCACTGAAAAAACAATGAATTGAGAGCCGGGTGCCGCTGGCTCACGCCTGTAATCCCAGCTACTCAGGACGCAGAGATCAGGATGATCACGATTCAAGGCCAGCCTGGGTAAATATTTCACGTGACACTATCTTGAAAACCCCTTCCCAAAATAGGGCTTGGTGGAGTGGCTCAAGGTGAAGGCCCTGAGTTCAAGCCCCAGTACTGCAAAAAAAAAAAAAAAGAATTGCATATGGTGACAGCTGTGATCCCAGCAATCAGGAGGACGGGGGAACCAGGAGGGTATGAGTTCAAGGCCAGCCTGGGCTGTGTATTGAGGCCCAGTCTCGAAAAATAGGGTGGACAAAGCAAAAAAGAATGAAAGCATGTCTTGTTGAGAAGGGGCAAATCCTCAGTCCAGTTTCGAGGTCTCTCCTTGCAAAGTTCGAACCCAACTACGGCATCCTTGGTCTAAAGCCTGCTCTGGCTCCCAGATATGCTGAGCTCTTGCCCACACCTGTTAAGGTGGCTCTGTGACACCTCCTCTGCTTTTGGGATCTGGTAGCGTCCCCGACTTGGACGTTCTTTGTCCTGACAGCCTTCTGGGAACCCTTCTTCCCCTCGGGGACCGCCCTTACTGGCTGAACCCTGACCTCTCCTTGCCATTTGCCTCCCACACTGAGCTGTGAGTTCCCAGAGCGGAGCGGGAGCGGTGAGCACATGCTGCACTCCGTCCCAGCACCGCAAACCCCACGAAGATGCCTTCTCCTCCAGGAAGTCCTCCGGACCCTGCCTCACCTCCTCAGGCCATCCTGGAAGGGCAGGAAGAGCCACTTGTCGGGCATGTCCTTGAGGAAACGGCCCTGCTGCTCCTCCGTGGGGTCCTGGGACACGTACACCAGGGCCAGCTGCGCGGCCCGCAGCACGTAGAACTCGTCAGTGAGGCGCACGAAGAAGTCGCGGAGCACCGGCGCGAAGGCCTGGCAGCGCGGACAGCCGCCCGCGCCGAAGAACAGCAGCACCAGCCGGTTCTCCAGCCGCCGGCACAGCTCGGCCTCCGTGTCCAGCGCGTCCTGGTCACTGTTGTTGCGGAGCAGGACGCGGCCCCAGAAGAGGGACACCATGGCTGCGCTGGGGACAGGGGGGAGGGGCCCCCTGCGGTGCCCGCTTAGGCCACTTAATCCGCCTGCCTGACCTGGTTCTCAGGTCTCCAGGGAGCGGCCAGCCTGGCCCGCTGGGCCATTTCACACATTTTACGCATGTCGCGTATTTCACGCATTTCCCGGTTCAGGTGGCTCTGCTGATTGCTACATTCCTTTTGCTTTCTTTTTTCTTTTTTGGGGACCATGGCTTGCACCAGTGGTCCCCATCCCTGGGGCTGAGGGAGGAGGCTCCTGAAGCTTAGGACTCCCAGGCAGCCTGAGCCTCCTCAGCTCCTACTCAAGGCTGGACGTGGCCTGTGGGCGGTGTCCCCTGAGCCCTGAAAGACCTTGTGCAAGTGTCCACTCTGAGCGCCACCTGGATTCTTTCCACTTAGACAGGAGTCCTGGGCTGGGGTTAGCACCTTGGCACAGCCTTGCCTAGCCAGGGCCTGGACTCCACCCTGGGTACTGTGAAACCAAAACAAAATGCAGACAAAAAAGAAGGGTGAGAGGTTAAGGTGACCAGAGTGCCGGGGACACAAGCCAAGGGTTGTCTCCAGCCACTAGGAGCAGGTGGCCCTGAGGGACAACCCTGGGCCTCCAGAGGTGCTGGCTGGACACTGACTTTGGATTTCTGGCCTGGAGCTGTGAGAACAGACTTCTGTGTTGGTGGCCTTTGTGACAACAGCTGTGGGACACTGGAGTCACTTGCCCTCGGGGAGGGAGAAGGAATGTTGTGAACGTGGAGACGTGCAAAACCGTCAGCCAAGAAACGAAGCTGGAAATGTTTCGTCCTTTGAACAGCATCGCCTCTGCGCTGCAGATGTTCAGAAGGACGCCAGGAGTGTGTGCCAAGCCTGGCAGCCCTGACACTATGTGCTGAGACCCAGGGACCCTGTGGGTCAGCCTTCCCCGGGGACCCCACCTGTGGGAGCGGTAAACAGTGCAGGTAAAAGGTTATGTCACCTTTCTCCTGAAGGAACACTCATGCAAGGTGACTTGAATCCCTCTTCCCTGGTTCTGTAGCTCATATGTGCCTTATTTCCTTCCAGCACAGCTCCTGAGTCCTCCTGTGGGGCCGTTGGAACTGGTTTGGGAGACGCTGTTGCTATGCTGTGCTCACCCTGACCTTTCTGTATTTTATTTCCGTATTGCTTATACTTCCTTCATCACAAAGTACCAAGCAGCTTCCTGGCTGTGGCAGGCCACCGCCACCCACCCATCATAAACAAGACCCTCCCAGGAGGAAATGGGGATGCTGCACCCCCACCAGGCATCCAAGGTGCAGGGGACAGAGGTGATGACACCCAGAGAAGGACAGAGCCTAAATTCTGCCCTCCTGTCAAGGAGGAGGACTTTACCCCAAGTCTTAGGGAATGGTTGTGGCTTACAATTGGAATTTTATTTATTTATTTATTTATTTATTTTTGTGGTACTGGGTGGGGCTTGAACTCAGGGTCTACACCTTGAGCCACTCCACCGGCCCTTTATTTATGACGGAGTTTCTCAAGATAGGGTCTCGAGAACTATTTGCCTGGGCTGGCTTTGAACCTCAATCCTCCTGATCTCTGCCTCCTGAGTAGCTGGGATTACAGGCGTGAGCCACCAGTGCCCGGCTTATTTTCTTTTTTGAGACAGGGTCTTACTTACTTGGGTTCCAGCCTGGAACTCAAGATCCTCTTGCCTCTGCCTGGGGAGTGCTGGGATTATAGACCTGTGTTACCAAGCCCAGCTTGCAATGGGAGCATCTTGTATTTTAGGATGATAACTGCCGTGCCTCTGGAGGTCTGGAGGGTCTGCAAGCAGAGGGATAAATGAGGATTAGCAGGAGAAGGACCCCGTAGAGTTCTGGGGCCACTTTAAGAGAAAGTTGGGTTTCAGACTGAGGACGGTATGCTGGGACGAAGTGCTTAGCGCACTGGATGAAAAGGGGAGGAGAGGAAGAAGAGGGGAAGGAGGAGGCGGCTGGGAGGCAGACAGAAAAGGAAGTGGGCCAACCCAAGAGGGAATTAGGGCAAAAGCAAAAAAGAGGAAGATGGGGGAGGATTAGAGCAGGAGGAAGAGGAAGGCGGAGGGAAAGAGGGACAGCTAGCACCCAGCCACATTTCTCAGCTCCAGCCCTCAGTCTCTTATTCTGTGAAATGGGATGGTGCTGCCTGGCCAGCCGGGCAAATCCTCACTGATGGCAGCCCGAGGAGGTGGTGTGGACCAGTGGTTGGTGCTGGGCCCCTCCTCTGTCCCCTGGCCCCCAGCCCACTCACCCAGGGCGACAGCGACGTGTGGCAGCTGGAGTTGGGGCGGGGCGAGGCCTGCCCAGCCTTGTCCCGCAGCGCAGAGGCACTGGAGGCTGGCCCTGGCCACCTCCCAAGGAGAGCTCCGGGAAGGTCGGCCAAGCAGGGCGCAAAACAAGCCTCGGGGTGGGCGGGGGGCGTAGAGGGGGACGGGAAGGAGGGACCCGGGGCCGCGCTCTCAGGGACCCGTGCAGCGAGCAGGGCCCGCAGGCTGCAGGAGCAGAAGCCCCTGGAGGGACCCACCAGTTGGGCTGGGCTCGAGGTCCCCACCCTGGCTCCACAGCCCCTGCCTGAGCTGGGAGCCCGTGAAGGAGCAGCCAGGCGGACGGTGCAGGCGGCCTCAGGTCAGCCAGGGAGCAGGCGATGGGTACCCCTGCCCGGGAATGTCAAGAAGAGGGTTTGGGTGCCCCTGGGGGAGCACTTAGTCCCGGGGTGCAGACAGATCTGGGCAGGGCATCCAGAAAGGACGGGAACCTGGTGGGTGCATTTCATCCTCCCTATTTAGACAGGCTTGGGGGGATCCAGGACGTTTGGGGACCTGATGGGTGCATTTCATCCTCCTTGGGTTTTTGGGTGAGCACTTAGTCCTGGGGTGCAGACAGGACTGGGGGGGATGCGTTCAGGAAGGATGGGACCTGGTGAGGTCTTCTGTTAAGACTTTGAGATTTAACTGACAAGGCTTTGGGGACTAGGATTTAGGATCAGCTGGGTCCTCCATGCACAAGACTGAGGCTGGGTTTGGATTCGGAACCTTCCGAGACCCTCCTTGTCCCCGGAATGTGTGCTGCGGATCGGAGCAGCCTGAGGGCTTGGATTTAGGGCGAGCTGGGGCAAGAATGCAGCAGGCGGCCCTGGGCGTGAGCTGGGATTTCTGGTCCGGGGCCGGGGCTCTCGGATGCCTTCTGGGGCCGGGCCGGGAACCACGCCCCTCCCGCTGCGCACACGTGCTTTAAGCGCACGCGGCGACGGGGCGGGGCCAGGCGCGGTTGCCCTGGAGACGGCGGCCGTCCTGGGCGGGCCGTTCTAGCCCCCTGGGTCTCGTTGGCTGTTGGCTCTCTGGCCTCGGAGGCGTTTCTATGGTCGTCGCCTCCGGAAGGGGGCCCCGCTCGGCTATGCGGGATGAGGAACTAGGAGCTAGACAGGTGTGAAGAGGGGCTTGCGGCGGGCTTCCTGGGCGGGGCTTGGGTGCGTTGTAGGCCTAGTGCGCCCCTCCTGGGGAGGTGACAGCTAGGCCACAGGCTGGGGCTGGATCTAGTTGAGAGTTGACAGGCTGGGGGCTCGGGGGCGGGGACTGGGGCCGTGGGGGGTGGAGCTTCAGTCAAGGGACTTGCCGGAAGGTTAAGTGGTGGGGCGGGGCCTCCTGACAGTGAGTGACGGGCTGGAAGTACTTGGCGGGGAGGGGGCGAACAGTGATTGGTAGGGAGGCGGGGCCTATCCGAAGCTTGGCCAATCCTAGTGCTGGGGGCGGTGCTATCTTGTGGGCGGGGCTAGCCTGGGGCGAACAGTGACCGACAGGTGGAGAGGGAAGGTCTTGTTATAGTGATTGGTCGGGAGGCGGGACCTACTCGAGGTTTGGCCAATTTCAGATCTGGAGGCGGGGTCTGTTCGTAGTAACCTTGTTCGGGTTACAGCCCGGGGATGGGGGCGGAGCTAGCTCGTGGGTGGGGTTAGGCTGGGGGCGGGGCCTGGCCGCCGCAGCCTCAGCGCGCTCACCTCCCCAGGATGCGGGCTCCGGGTGCGGGCACGGCCTCGCTGGCCTCGCTGGCGCTGCTGTGGTTCCTGGGGCTGCCGTGGACATGGAGCGCGGCGGCGGCCTTCGGCGTGTACGTGGGCGGCGGCGGCTGGCGCTTCCTGCGCATCGTCTGCAAGACGGCGAGGCGGGACCTCTTGTGAGTGGGGTCCGGGCTGCGGGGCCGGGCGGCTTGCTGGGTCCCTAAGGACCTGGGGGGGACTGAAGGGCTCCTGGGAGACTGCAGAGGACACATTGGGGGTCCGGTAGGTTTAAGGTGATCAGAGCTTTGGGGGCTGCTTTGGGGACGCGGGTGGCAACCTGCGGGTCTCTGGGTAGCTGGTGGAAGTTGTAGGGAGCTGGGTCTTGGGGATCTGGGGGGCTTGCTGGCTGCAGGAGTCCCCTGGGGGCTCACAGGGGTGATTCAGTGTCTCTGGGGGCCGCCCAGACTCTTGGGGTCTAGTCAGAGGTGGGGGAGAACGGGCCCCTTGTGGATCCTGTAAAGACTTTTAGGGTCTGTAAAGAGTGCGTGCCTCCTCTGAACCTTTACACGTAGTGACTGCTGTGTATTTGAGAGCTAGGGTCGTGTGGAAGGTTCCGTACTTGTCTGGGGGTCTCTGGAGATGGGATCTCGGGTGTCATGTGTATGCAGGGATTCTGGGGTGTCTCAGGCTTGCTCAGGGAGTTGTAGGGGATCTTCTGGGATGTAAGTGTGGCTGGAGGTTCCAGGGAGTAATTCTGCACCCCACACGGGTCCCTGCTGGGAGGTGGAGGTACTAAACCATTTTAAGGGTGGGGAAAGTGAGGTTCACTGAGGGGAGTTAGGAAGGGCCCCCCCAAGCTGACTGGTTCTGAACCTGATAGACCTCGCCTTCTCCATGCTGATGTCCCTCCACCTGCCTCTGCCTTTCTGACATATGCATTGTCACACATTCTCTGTGGCCCCCTTGTCGGCAGGATAAAAATCTCCCTGCGCACTCAGGGTCCTGTCAGCCTGCCTCTGCCACCTCCATATGTTTTCCTGGTTCCCTAGTGGGCTTGCTTGGTCAGGGTCACTCCCTTGGGGTGGGGACCCCTCCTAATGTTCTCCTCAGCTTCCTTCCCTGGGTCTTTATTGTCCATAGAAGCTGAAGCTGGACCACATTACTGAGCATGGCTCCCTCCTCCCCCCCAATCCAGCCAGTCTTGCCAGCTTGCTGTTGCTAAACACACTCAGCCTTTATTCCAGCCCCAGGGCCTTTGCACTTGCTGCTCCTCTGCCTGAATGGCTCTTTCTCTTCTCTTCACTGTCTGTCATGGCACAGCTTAAATAATGTCACCTCCTCAGCAAGCTCTCTGCAGACAGTGATTCTCTGAAGCCCCTCCCACACCCTTGCTCTTTGGGAAAAAATGACATTTGTGAGCATGCCACGGTAAGCACTTTACAGACTTGACTTTAGCAAGCACTCCCAACAACCCTGTGAAATAGGTTCTTTGGCCCCAACTTAAAGAGCAAACTGAGGCACAGTATGACTCATCCTGGGTCACACTGGTGGCAAGTGACAGGAAGAGACAGTGTGACCCCAAGCCTGTCCTGAAACCATGGGTAGCATTTACTGTTGCTGTGAGGGTGCTTCGACTTTCTTGCCTTTTCATTCTAGGACATCCCTCCCCTCTTGGTGTCACTGTGGCCCTGTCCCCCACTTGGGCTTCCCTATAACAGGAGCAGGGGATAAGTTACCTGGAGGATCTTTCCTAACCCCTGGGCCATCCAGACCTAGCTCCCTCTGCCCTTGGAACTCTGGGAATTTCTATGCCTGGCTCTGTCTGTCCAGTGGGGCAGGTCCACACTACTTCCTGACATGGCTGTGGGAGACAGCCCTGAAGATGGTCACTGACCCCTGCCCTGTTCTTCACACCTTGTGTGGGTGTCTTTCAGAGTATGTGACTCCATATAGGTGTTGTCCCCATCTCTGGTTGCTTGCTCTCAGGGAACACCTGCCTCACTGTGTGGAAAGGTTCCTGAGTGTGCATAGAGGTGGTTTCTCCCCCATGAAGCCTCAGCCTGCCCACCTGGTGCACAGTAGACCCTGAGACAGAGCCACACACAGAGCTAGGCAGTCCCAGCGTTTTGGCTGCCGGAACTGTAATTTTCAGCTCCTAATTTTGGGGTCATTTGTTATGCAGCTGAAGCTAACTGTTGCACCTTGTATACCGCTGGCCATGTACTGGTCCTTGTTCTTGTCACTCTGGAAGGGGGGACTTCTTATCCTGTCTTGCTGGTGGTCTGAATCACATAGCCAGGGATGGCAGGGCTCCAGATCCGCGTCTTCCCCACTGTGTGACACAGTGTCTTCCAAGTAGCCCGGCTGGCCTGGAACTTGCAGTCCTGCTGCCTCTGCCTCTCGTGTGCTGGGACAACAGGTATGGCGGCTGCGCCCGGCTGAGCTGGGTGCGGATGTTGGGTTCTGGCCATCTGTGAGCACTCTGCTGTCCACCTGACTCACGCTGCTCCCTGAATGGAATCGGGTCACATGTTTCCTTGTTGCTCTCTTCCTGCCTGCGTCCTGGGACACAGGATGAAAGGAATGGACAACAGGAGGTCCTGGGAAGTCCAGGCCGGATAGAGGTTTCTTTGTGATTAGGCTGGGGGTGGCTTGGGCTGCTGCCCGGTGGCGCCCAGGCCTGTGGCTGGGACAAAGCTCGGAATGCCTGCAGCATGGGCGTCCTTGAGAGAGAGAAATGGCGGGCGTGGGCCACAGAGGGGCCAGCTGAGGGCTGTGGTAGCCGCTACCATCCCTCGTGTGCAGCCCAAGCAAGCAGCTGCAGCCTGAGTTCCTGTTTCTGGCTGTTCTATAGAGAAGAGGGAGTGGCAAGAGAGCTTACTGTGGCTGCTGGCCATGCTGAAAGTCCTGTCCCTGTGTCTGTGACACTTACATCCCCAAAGGGTCCCCAGAGTCAGGACACCAAGTCACTCTTAGGAAACCCTTAAAATAGCTAGGCATACAGCACGTGCCCAGTCACGTTGGTCGCTGTTTGGCACCTTGGTGGCCAGAGCCTGAGGGTTTGGCTGTGACCTCAGCTCTGTCCTTTGTTGGTCTGGTGGAGCTCCGTCCCCTCATCTGTGATGTACGTAGCACCCCCTGTAAGAAGCATGCATTGAGTGCCCTATGGTGCAGCCTAGACACTTGACCACCGCCTAGGGCACTAACAAAAGCTTGGTGTCAGCCCACAGGAGAGCAGAGGGGACCCGTGAGGGGCTTTGGTTCTGGGCTATTCTGCCCAACTTGCTGTATGACCTCTGCCTGTTAACCCACCTGGCCGAGTCCCCAGCACAGGTGTCATCTGAGAGCTGCACGGTCAGCATGAAGCTCTCGTGGCAGGTGCTCAGAATGGCCTTCTTCTTGTAAGAAATGTACCCCAGGCCTCAATGGTAACTTTGGGAGAATTTTTTTAAATTCGCATTTTATTTTGAAAAAGTTGAAACCTACAGGGGTTAACAGCGCATCCCCTCTCTGCAGTGGCTCCTGTCTGAGACTGTCTTGTGTTGCTGTAGCAGATGGTCAGGCACTGGGAAGTGTATAAACCACACAAGTTTGTCACTCACAGTCCTAGTGACTGGGAAGTGCATGACCACCAGGCCCCAGCCAGGGCAGGTAGAGAGAGCAGAGAGCCTCATGCCTGCTTTTGTGGTGGGCCTGCTCCTTGGAGCTCGCTGGCCCACTGTCAAGGGCAGAGCCCGATGGCCTGGATCCACAGCGGCTCCTCTGCACTGTTGGTTGGTGGTGATTTCCAACACACGAGCCCTCGGAAGAAAGCTGTGTTTGTCACTGTGGGAGGCCCCTCAGTGGGCCTTGCCCCACGACCTAGCTCCCTTATGGGCCCCCTGCCTCCACCCAGCATAGAGCCCCAGGCAGCAGGGTTCACATCTGAACTGTGAGCTCAGGTGGACTCATCCTTTTAGATGGTCCTGTGGATTAGTTTTGCAGCTGGCCATACCCAGGAGGGCAGGGACTTGGTCTGTCTCTGCTGCTGTCTCACTAGTCCCTGTCCACCCAGAGCAGGGGGAGAGGTGAGGACAAGATGACATGAGTGAACTGCTTGTGGCATTGCAGGGCCATAAGTGGCACACGTACAAGAGTAGAGCAGGAAGGGGGCACAGAACCCAGGGTGGAGGCAGCAAGAGAGGAGCCCACAAATGACCACCTGAGTGGTCATAGCTGGGCCAAGGCCTGGGGGAGGAGCCCGATGGATGGGCGTTGCACGAAGAGCGTTAGGGCCCTGAGGTGAGAGCATGCTGGGTGTGTGCGAGGAGCAGTGGAAAAGACCTGTGCTGGATGAGTGAGGGTCCTGCCTAGGGCAGGCCTGGCACACAGGGGACTTGAAAGAGTCCTAGCTTCTGTCCCCTGCTGGCGTGGGCGGTGGAGCTCAGCAGGCTGGAGCAGGGGTGTGTGGTGCGGCATCTGGGACCTCAGCGACCTGGTCCTGACCCAGGGCATCGGGAGGGGCTTCCTGGGCTTCCAGGGTTTGCGGTGCTGGTGAGTGCTGTTCTAGCATGTGTGAGAGGCCCTGGGTTCCATCCCAACACCCCCCCATCCCTCCAAAACCCTGTTTATCACCTGCTGTGTCAGATCCCATTGAACACGCTTTCCCACTGAGCCACAACCCCAAGCCCTAAAAACAAAAACAAACAAAGAAAACCAAAACAACAAAAAACTATCCCTTATCTACCAGCTATGAGTGGCAGCCCCTGGCTTCCCATGGTCATTGGGGACCAGGTTCCTCTAGGGAGACTGTCCCTCCTGTCCACTGTCAGGTGAACGGTTCCTGCCACCAGCACCTGCCATTTCTCCTGCTAGACGTCTCGAGCCCCACCTGGGGCAGGAGCACCCCTCCCCTGCTGGGTGAGCACATGGTGGGTGGAGAGGACGTCACTGTCTTGCTTGGTGCCATGGAGTGACCAGAGGCGCAGCAGCTGTGGGGTTGGGGCTGCTCTCTGGGACCTGGTTGGGGAGCCAGTAAGACGCAGGCCTGGAGGCCACGTGTGGAATCCCCAGAGTGACAAGCAGAGCATGGGCGCCTGCTCCACCAGGCCCACCAAGCCAGCTGGGTAGAGGACAGGGTGACCCATTCACATGTGGTGGCTCTGCCCGTGGTCCCCTCCCCAATCCAGAGGGTTCAGCAAATCTCACTGCACCCTGGATGGGGATGTGGAGGCCTGGGGAGGGGGCCACCAGTAACACTGTGCCCCCCCCCGCCCCCCAGCGGCCTCTCGGTTCTGATCCGCGTGCGCCTGGAGCTGCGGCGCCACCGGCGTGCAGGCCACACCATCCCGCTCATCTTCCAGGCAGTGGCGCGGCGACAGCCTGAGCGCCTGGCCCTGGTGGACGCAGGAAGTGGCGCGTGCTGGACCTTCGCGCAGCTGGACGCCTACTCCAACGCGGTGGCCAGCATCTTCCACCGGCTGGGCTTTGCACCGGGCGATGTGGTGGCCATCTTCCTGGAGGGCCGGCCCGAGTTCGTGGGATTGTGGCTAGGCCTGGCTAAAGCGGGCGTGGTGGCCGCGCTGCTCAATGTGAACCTGCGGCGTGAGCCCCTGGCCTTCTGCCTGGGCACCTCAGGTGCCAAGGGCCTCATCTACGGCGGGGAGATGGCAGAAGGTGAGGCCACCAGGACGCGGGGACCTGGGGCTGCCAGGTGCTGGGTCTGGGGCCTGGGGATGTGGGTGTGCATGTCCCACTGTGACCTCCATGCTCCTATCACAGCGGTGGCCGAGGTGAGTGGGCAGCTGGGCAAGAGCCTCCTCAAATTTTGCTCTGGAGACCTGGGGCCCCAGAGTATCTTGCCAGACACCCAGCTCCTGGACCCCATGCTGAAGGAGGCCATCACCACCACCCCACTGGCACAGCCCCCCAGCAAGGGCATGGACGGTGAGTACAGGGGGCCCTCTTGCCCACCCTGTCTCCTCTCCACTGCCCACTGGCTGGGCCTCAACACCTGTATCTCCTGCAGACCGACTTTTCTACATCTACACGTCGGGGACAACTGGGCTACCCAAAGCTGCCATTGTCGTGCATAGCAGGTGAGGGTCTGTGGAGAGAGTGACCCAGACCGCCCCTGATGACCTGCTGGTGTGCGGTCTGGGGATGTCTCCAGGCCACCTATGAGGCCCACAGCCATCTCAGGGCCCTGTGTCCAGTGTTCTGGAACTCCTCGTGTCCTCCCCACCTCTTCCCCACATTTGGCAAGTCAGGGGAACCTGTCCCTCAATTTGTCCACTTTTCTCCACCCCTGCTCCTGTCCCTACCTAGCCTTGCTCCCCTTAGGGTTTCAAATCCTAAATCAGCCCTCCTCTGCCCTCAGTCTCCTGGTGCCTGCTCTTGCCCTCAGAATAAAACCCATTCTCTAGTAATACAGGGCCTGCCCCTTCCCTGGTGTCCTTTGTCTCCCCTTCACCCTTCAGTCGCCCTCTTTGGCCCCTAGCACTGCATCAAACCAACCGTGCTCCTTGGAGCCTCAGGCCCCCCGCACGTGTTGTGCCCTCCGCCCCAGGGTGTCCAGGCACCCTTCCGTGGTTTATCCCCACAGCTGCTTGCTGGGTGTGGGGTCCTGCGTCACCTTCCCAGACAGAATCTCCCAACCGTCCTGGGTGTGTCATCTCAGCCCCGTGCCCCGTCACCCTGGCGGCAACTGCGCCATCACAATTATTTCTGTTGAATGCACCACCTGGCTTCCCCACCCCATTCGCTGGGTCTCAGGGCCCAGCGCTGCCCTCCCGCCCCTCCCCAGGTACTATCGCATCGCAGCCTTCGGCCACCACTCCTACAGCATGCGGGAGGCCGACGTGCTCTACGACTGCCTGCCCCTGTACCACTCCGCAGGTATGGGGGGCGAGGGGCGGGGACCCCTCAGAGCCGCACTCTGCAGGGAACATCATGGGCGTGGGGCTGGGGGACCCTCATGGAGCCGCCCTCCGCAGGGAACATCATGGGCGTCGGGCAGTGTATCATCTATGGACTGACGGTCATCCTCCGCAAGAAGTTCTCCGCCAGCCGCTTCTGGGATGACTGCATCAAGTACAACTGCACGGTGAAGCCCCGCCCAACCGTCCAGGCCCCGCCCTCACCCTGAGGCTCCGCCCCTCACCCAGCAGCCCACCCCCTCCGCCCAGGCCCCGCCCTCACCCTGAGGCTCCGCCCCTCTCACCCAGCAGTCCACCCCCTCCGCCCAGGCCCCGCCCTCACCCTGAGGCTCCGCCCCTCTCACCCAGCAGTCCACCCCTCCGCCAGGGCCCCGCCCACCGCCCAGGCCCGCCCTCACCCTGAGGCTCCGCCCTCCACTCTCAGCCCAGTCCACCCCTCCGCCCAGGCCCCGCCCCACCGCCCAGGCCCCGCCCTCACCCTGAGGCTCCGCCCCTCTCACCCAGCAGTCCACCCCCTCCGCCCAGGCCCCGCCCCACCGCCCAGGCCCCCCCACCTGCGCTCCGCCCCTCTCACCCAGCAGTCCACCCCCACCGCCCAGGCCCCGCCCTCGCCCTCAGGCTCCGCCCCTCACGCTCAGCCTTCCCCGCCGAGGCCCCGCCCTCACGCTAGACCCCGCCCCTCACGCTGAGCTGTCCATCCCCGCCGCCCAGGCCCCACCCATCAGGTCTACCTACCTCTCCCCCCAGGCCCCGCCCCTTCCCATCCAATTTTCACCTCCAGCCCTGCTCTGTGTCTTTCTGCCGGATGTTTGGAATTAATTAGGATAAGGATGGCGAAGACAAGGGTCCCTTGAGTGCCGCCGGGTCCAGTTCAGGCCTAAAGCCTGGACGTGTACTCACTGGAATCTCAGACCTGCTCGGGAGTGGCCAACAGCATCACGCACTTGTATTTTTATTATCCTGTGCTAGTTGCGCAGGGGTTACATTGTGACATTTACGTATCCCCTGCACTGTTCTCCCTCTTCCAACACCCTCCTCCCCATCGCACACATTTGCGACAGGGAAACTGAGGCTCATAGTACAGCTGGGCTAGGGGCAGGGTGCGTGAGCTTCTTAAGGCGTGGACAGCGGGTGCATCCACTTGGGCAGAAGACGCAACCAGGCCGGGGTGCGTTCTGAGCAACGAACGCCCTGCGCTGCGGTCCTCACCCTTAGACTATGGGTGGGGAGGCCCGGGTGTCAGACCCGCGGGCTCCGCGGCCCCCCAGCCACGCCCTGCGTCCCGCTCGCCCACAGGTGGTGCAGTACATCGGGGAGATCTGCCGCTACCTGCTGAAGCAGCCGGTGCGGGACGCCGAGCGGCGGCACCGCGTGCGCTTGGCTGTGGGCAACGGGCTGCGGCCGGCCATCTGGGAGGAGTTCGTGCAGCGCTTCGGCGTGCGCCAGGTGGGCGAGTTCTATGGCGCCACCGAGTGCAACTGCAGCATCGCCAACATGGACGGCAAGGTGTGGGCCGCGCGGTCCCCGTGCGCCCCAGAGCGGACCCTCCTCCCGTGCGCAGTTAGTCCCGACCCGACTGCGCCCCTGAGCCAGAAGGGCGGGGAGACCTTGGGGACCTCCATTCTCCGTTTCATATCTATAAGTGGAGGTCCTGGTCACGCAACGTGGCTTTGTCACGGGCTCGGGTCACCATCCCGCCGGATAGGAGGCTCACTGCAGACCAGCTCCATGGCCTCCCCAGCCTCCATCCTTCCTGAGCCCTTCCCACCCCAGGCCAGGAACTCCTCAGGATGAGGGTTCACAGCAGGTGTCTGGGTTCTTTCCTGTCGTCTCCTTCCCCGCTGGGTCCCCAGTGCGAAGAATATGCAAGGTCCCTTCCTGGGATGACCAGCCCTGGAGGACACTGGCCATGCCACCTGAGGCAGATTCCACCACTATCGAGCCAACATTGGCCTGACATGTGGAACGAGCGTTTCTGCTCACAGGGCAGGGGATGCAGAGTCAGTGGGGAGGGCCATGCCACATCTCTGCCTGGCTGACTCGGTCGCCCGTCCCAGGTCGGCTCCTGTGGCTTCAACAGCCGCATTCTCACCCATGTGTACCCCATCCGGCTGGTGAAGGTCAACGAGGACACAATGGAGCCGCTGCGGGACGCCCAGGGCCTCTGCATCCCGTGCCAGCCTGGTGAGCAGGACCCCTCCTCCAGCCCTGGGGAGCTGGGGTCCCTCCTTCCTCTCTCATCCCCAGCCTGGCCTCCTCCCCAGGGGAGCCCGGCCTCTGGTGGGCCAGATCAACCAGCAGGACCGCTGCGCCGTTTCGATGGCTACGTTAGCGAGAGTGCCACCAGCAAGAAGATTGCACACAGCGTCTTCTGCAAAGGTGACAGCGCTTACCTGTCAGGTGCGGAGCCTGCTAACCCCCCACTCCCCCCACCCCCGTTGCTGGACGGTGGGCGGGGCCTCACCTCTCCCCTCCCCTCCCCATCCGCCAGGTGACGTGCTGGTGATGGACGAGCTGGGCTACATGTACTTTCGGGACCGCAGCGGGGACACCTTCCGCTGGCGCGGGGAGAACGTCTCCACCACCGAGGTGGAGGGTGTGCTCAGCCGTCTGCTGGGCCAGACAGACGTGGCCGTGTACGGGGTGGCCGTGCCAGGCAAGCTGGGGTTGCAGAGGGGTGGTTGTGGGGTGCAGAAGTGCCAGGGGAGTCCAGCCACAAGGGACCTGGAGGGGAGAGTTGCCTTTGGGCAGTGCACGACCTGGCTGATGGCGGGAACACTGGTTCTGGAGGCCCATTCACATGTGATATGTTGGGCTTTAGTTTTGTCACCCAGAAAAATGGGATCGCTCTTCCTCAGGTGCAGGGAGTGAGGCCGGACCAAATGTTCGCTGCTTGGGCGAAGGGTGGTAGCACCAGTGTGTGGTGTGGTTCTCACAGAGCCTCTCTGTCTCAGGAGTGGAGGAAAAGCAGGCATGGCGGCCATCGCAGACCCCCACAGTCAGCTGGACCCCGACTCCATGTACCAGGAGCTGCAGAAGGTGCTGGCGCCCTATGCCAGGCCTATCTTCCTGCGCCTCCTGCCCCAGGTGGACACCACAGGTATGGCCGCCTCTGTCCATCCGTCCATGAGCTCAGCAGCCTACTTGTTCCTCCTACTCCAGCTCCCAGGCTGTGAGCAGCTAGAGCTGCACAAACTTATCAAGCCTCCTTCTCCACCCGTGAGTCTACTGTTAACACCGTCCACAGGGCCTTTTGTTGGAAAAATACCCTTATTACTATTATTTTCTCTTTGGTGGGACTGGGCTTTGAACTCAGGGCCTTACACCTTGAGCTGCTCCATCAGCCCTTTTCTTGTGTTAGTATTTTCGAGATAGGGTCTTGTGATATTTGCCTTGGCTGACTTAGAACCATGATCCTCCTGATCTCTGTTCCTCTGAGTGGCTGGGATTACAAGTGTGAACCACAAGTGTCCAGCAAATTTTTCTTAAAGGACCAGACAGTCAGTATTCAGCTTGGCAGGCCATATGGTAGCCAGCGGTGTGTAAATGAAAGGGTGTGGATGTGTGCCAATAAACTTTATTGACAAGGGCAAGTTGGCCCCAGTTTGTTGTTTTTGTTGAAACATTACTCGTGTCCATCCCATGGGGCCAGAGGGGAGCAGGTGGGCTTGGCTGTGGTTATAGTGAAGGAGGTAGGAGGCTCCATGGACGAGGCTCTGGATAACAGGGATTGGAAGGACAGGAGGCTGCAGGCCGCCATGTGGGGCATGGTGGCTGTGCTGAGGCCTGGTGGGTGGGCGCAGCAGCTGGCTGGAGCCCTGCAGCCTCCTCTCTACCCGCCCAGGCACCTTCAAGATCCAGAAGACGAGGCTGCAGCGTGAGGGCTTCGACCGCGCCAGACCTCGGACCGGCTTTCTTCCTGGACCTGAAGCAGGGCCACTACCTGCCCCTGGATGAGGCGGTCTACAGTCGCATCTGCTCCGGTGCCTTCGCCCTGTGACAGCCTCCCTGTCTGGAGGGGGGAGGTGGTCATGGCTTCAGCCAGAGTGCTGCCTGGGATCACCTGTCTCACCAGCCACCTGTGTCACCGGCCACCCTCCTGGAGGACCACCTGCAGAGGCACCTGCCCAGCCACACCTCTGGCACCCTCGTCTCCCTCCATGCCCGTCTCCTCCTTGCGGCTTGTCCCCAGGAGCAGAGCTATGTTCTGAAGCTCCATCCTGTGGGTCCCCAAGCCTGTCATCTGCTCCCTCCCTGTGCCTTACGAGCCCAGCACAGCCTCAGCTGCTGTCTGGACGTTGTTGTCACGCCTCACCCTCCTGTCCAACCAGGGCCACCGTGCCCGGCCCGCCAGAGGTCCTGGTCAGGAGACCAGGGTTTTTTTTGTTTTTGTTTTGCTTTTTGAGATGGGGTCTCTCGTTGGCTGCAGTCCAGGCTGGCCTCAGCCTCCCGGGTGCCGGCCTGGAAATGTCCTAGTCCAGGTCATCACCTTTTTGCACTTTCTTGTCCTGTGTACCCAGGAAGCTTTCACAGCTGTCTGTCACCACAAGGATGTCACCACTGCCTAGGTGCCTGAATCCAGGCATCTTCCTGCTTTGACCGGGAGGTCATAGTCTCCTGTCCCTGGAAGGGCCTCTGGTGTCTCAGGTGGCTTCTGGGTGGTTCCCTTCCTCAGGTGGCATCTGATATGGCCTCTCGGACCCCCTGGTGGTGACTCTCTGGGTGTCCCCTGGTTTGCAGCTGATGTCCCAGACCCTGTTGTAGTGGGCTGGACGACCCTGCTGAGGTGGCTCACGTCCCCATAGGTCTTAGTGGCTCATCTCAGGCACTGTGTCAGCCAGGTTGGGTTAGGGTTAGGGCACAGTGGGACAGTGAGTGTCCCCTGGCTGCTTCCCATGCACTGCACGTGGTGAGGTCCCTTCCCCAATGATCTTCAGAAATAAACCTTGCAGCACCTGTGGGGATCCAGTCATTTGTTTCCTCTGCAGTTCAGAAAGGGCATGGGGAGGGGATACATGGCCACACAGCAGGATGGTGGCTGTCCTCCCTGCCTGTGCAGGGTACTGAGGACCCACAGGGCTCCCACAATTCAGGACAGAGAAGGGACATCTGATGGTAGGATGAAGATGACCCCACCCAGGCCACACTGTACTTGCTTGGTCTCTGGCTGGATCAGGTGTCCTGGGGCTGCAGGATTCATGTGGCACTTCACTGGCTGGCTGTTTATAGGGCGCTGGGAAACAGCAGGGTGAATGAAGCGCTCACAGCAGGTTGGGTTGAGACACCCATTAGCCACCTTTCCTATAGTGAAACGCCTGAGGCGGGTCGTGGTGTAGCCTGAAGTTTTGGAGTGAAAGTCCAAACTGCATGGGGCTAGCTCAGTGAAGGAGGGGGCTGTCTGCTGTGGTTTCTCTGGGAGCAGCAGGGTAGCCTGGGGCAGACAAAGGCAGACCTCACATCCCCTCTGACCTTAACACCCACAGGGGTCATCATGGCCCCCATGGTTCAGACGAGGAACAGGTGCAGGAGGGGAAGAGATGTCACCAGGTGGGCAGCCTTCTTTGTAGAAGCAGATCTCAACTGGGCACCGCATAAGTAATGCTAGCTACCTTGGAAGCAGAGATGGGGAGGGTGGAGGTTCGAGGCCAGCCCCAGCAAATTGGTCCGGAGACTCTGGAGACTCCATCTCCAAATTAACCAGAGGAAAGGGACCTGAGGTGTGGCTCAAGCGGCAGAGCAATCTTAACAGTACATTTTCCAATTCATGAACATAGGATATCTTTCCATTTTTCAGAATTACCTTTCATTTGTTTTCCAGCAAAGTGTTACAGTTTTCAGGGTAAAAGTCTCGCGCTTGTGTTGCTAGACTTATTCCTAAGTATTTGATTCCCTGTGAACTTTTGTTTTGGGGTCTGAGATTTGGGTCACATAGGCAGCAGCCCAGAAGGCATTCTCAGCCTGATGTCAAGGCGAGGCCACCAGAGCGGCCCTGGGTGTTTTATCTTAATGACGCCGTGGCTGGGGAACCACTTCTGCAGCTCTGAAAGACCTGGTACGGCAGCCCGCCCCGCCCCCCCCGCCTCCCCTCCCTCCCCTCCCATCCCGGTGGTGTTTTTCCCTCCTAGCCCGGAGGTGCCTGGGCCTTTAAGGGCCCTGGGAGGGCAACAGCGAAGAGGGCTGAAGCCGTGTGAGGTCATCAGGCAGCGTCCAGCCACCCACGCTGTGGCTGGCACGCTGCAGGGAAGCTTGGGAGGCATCAAGGAAATACCCTTTCCTCGGAGCTTGCACTTAGTAGCAACCAGACACTGTTACAAGAGGCGGGAATTCAAACGGCACCTCCTCCAGAAGCCCTCCACACACCCTAAGCACGCCCTTGGCGTCCCCGCCCTCGATGACCGTTGACCCCCCGATGATGAGCAGCAAAGTACCC